ATTCATCTATTGATTAACACTTGGGTTGCTTCTGTATCTTGACTGTTTCAAATAATGCTGCAATAAACATAGGGTTGCATGTATCCTTTCAAATTATCATTTTCATTTTCTTTGGGTAAGTACCCAATAATAGAATTACTAGATCATATGGTAATTCTATTTTTAATTTTTTGAGGACCCTACATTGTTTTCCACAGTGACTGTAACAATTTGCATTCCCACCAACAGTACATAAAGATTCCCTTTTCTCCACATCCTCACCAACATTTGTTATTTCTTGACTTTTTAATTTTAGCCATTCTGACAGGTATAAAGTGATATCTCACTGTGGTTTTGATTCACATTTCCCTGATGATTAGTGATATTGAACATCTTTTTAAAGACATTAAAAATAAAAGAAAAATAGCTAAAAGCCAATAGAGAAGATAAAAAGTAATATTTTAAGAATGTAAGCCAATAAAAGGCAGAAAAGAGGAAGCAAGAAATAAAGAACACAGGAGACAGAAAACAAATATTAATAATTACGTTATATATAAATGAACTAAACACATCCTTTACAAGGGTAGAGATTGGGGTACCTGGGTGGCTCAGATGGATAAGTGTCTGTCTTCAGCTCAGGTCATGGTCTCAGGATCCTGAGATTGAGCCCTGCTTTGGGTTCCCTGCTCAGTGGGGAGCCTGCTTTTTCCTCTTCTTCTGTCCCTGCCCCTGCTCATGCTCTGTCTCTCACTCTCTCTCAAATGAATAAATAAAATCTTTTTTAAAAATTAAAAAATAAATAAAAGGGTAGAGATTGTCATACTGAATGAAAAAATAAAGACCCAACCATGTGCTCTTTATAAGAAGCTCTCCTTAATATAAACAGATGGATTAAAGTAAAGATTGGAAAACAATATTCCCAAGCACATACCAGTCAAAAGAAAGATAGAGTGGTCAATTAATATCCAATGAATTAGACTTAAGAAGTACTACCAGGGACAATAGGGACTTTTCATAATGATGAAGCAGTCAATTCATTAAGAAAGCCTAACATCCTAAATGTGTATGTACCTAACAGAACAAAAAAATATAAAGCAAAATCTGACTGAACTAGAAGGAGAAATGAACAAATCCATACTTACAGTTGAGGATCTCAATCCTCTTCTGTTGGAAATTAATGCAAAAAGTGACAGAAAATGAGTCCAGATGGAGACTTTGAACAATAACATTAACCAATTTGACCTAATTGCTATTTATAGAGTCACACTACATGTTACAGATCTATACATTACAGAACTACACCCCCAAAATACAGATTACATTTTTTTCCCAAGTGTGCATGGGACAACCACCAAGATAGACCATATTCTGGCCATTAAAAATAACTCAATAAGTCTAAGGGGATTGAAGTTTTACAGAATATATTCTCTGACCACAAAGGAATTAAATTAGAAATCAATTAACAAAAGGTTATCTGGGAAATCATCAAGTATTTGGAAATCAAAAATAACTTTTAAGTAATCAACAGATCTAACAAGAAATCTTTGGGAAATTAGAAAAAATGTTACCTGAATGGTAAAGAAAACATAACATACCAAAATTTTAGGAATGCAACCCAAATAGTACTTAGAAGGAAATTTATAGTTTTAAATGTCTGTATTAGAAGACTGTTCTAAACTGATCTAAACTTGTACCTTAAGAATCTAAGAAAAAAGCAAATTAAATGACAAGTAAATAGAAGACAGGAAATAAGGGCAAGAACAGAAAATGAGATAGAAAATACACAAATAGTGAAAATTAAAAAAAAAACAAAAATTTGTTCTTTGAAAAGTTCAATAAAATTTATAAAGTAACTAGACTGATCAAGAAAAATGAAGGGATAGAACACAAATTACCAATATGGAAAGTAGAAGAATAGATGTCATTTACATCCTATAGATATTAAAAGATAATAAGGAAATATTTTTGGACAAGTTTATGGCAAAAATAGACCATTTTGATAAAATAGAAAAATTCCTTGAAAAACACAAATTTACAGTTCTATATTTTCACTGGGTCTTCTTTAAGCCTTACACTTTTTTCTTTGTTATGCTCATGTTTTCATTTAAATCCTTGGGAATGTTTATAACAACTGTTTTAAAGTTAATTGACTGTATCTGATAAAGGCTTAATATCCAAGACCTATAAAGAATATATCAAACTCAACACTCCAAAAATGAATAATCCAGTTAGGAAATGGACAGAAGACATGAATAGACATTTTCTCAAAGAAGATATCCAGATAGCTAACAGACACATGAAAAGATGCTCAACGTCACTCATCATCAGAGAAATACGAATCAAAACCACAATGAAGGACACCTGGGTGGCTCAGCAGTTAAGTATCTGCTTTTGGATCAGGGCATGATCCCAGGATCTGGGATGAAGTCCCACATCGGGCTCCCTGCGGCGAGCCTGCTTCTCCCTCTGCCTATGTCTCTGCTTCTCTGCGTGTGTGTGTGTCTCTCATGAATAAATAAATAAATCTTTTTTTAAGAAAAAGGTTAAAAAAAAACACCATGAGACACCTGTCAGAATGGCTAAAATAACAACACAAGAAACAACAGGGGTTGGCGAGGATATGGAGACAGAGGAACCCTCTTACACTGTTGGTGGGAGTGCAAACTGGTGCAGCCACTGTAGAAACCAATATAGAATTTCCTCAAAAAGTTAAAAATAGAACTATCCCATGATCCAGCAACTGCACTACTAGGTAATTACCCACTGGATACAGAAATACAGATTTGAAGGGGTATATGCACCCTGATGTATGTAGCATTATCAACAATAACCAAAATATGGAAAGAGGCCAAATGTCCGACAACTATTGAATGAATAAAAACTATTGAATGAATAAAGAAGATATATGTACAATGGAATATTAGCCATCAGAAAGAATGAAATCTTGCCATTTTAGCAATATGGATGGACTTAGTCCATTATGCTAAGCAAAATAAGTCAGTCAGGAAAGACAAATACCATATGATTTTAGTCATGTGGAATTTAAGAAACAAAACATATGAACATGTGGGAAGGGAGGGGAAAGAAAAAGAGAGAGGGAAACAAACCATATGGGATTCTTAACAATAGAACAAACTGAGGGTTGATGGGGGGGTTGGGGATGGGCTAGATGCATGATGGGTATTAGCAGGGCACTAGTGGTGAGCACTGGGTGTTGTAAGTAATGAATCACTGAATTCTTCTCTGGAAACCAATATTGCACTGTATGTTAACTAACAAGAATTTAAATAAAAATTTGAAGAAAAAAATGTTTTTAAGTTCATTATCTAAATACCATCATCTCCTTGGTTTTTAGGTATGTGGAGGCTTAAAAAAAAAAGCTTTCATTTATTATTTGAGAGAGAGGGAAGAGGAGCAGAGGGAATCTCAAGTAGATTCTTAAGCATACTCTGCACTGAGCACAGAGCCCCACACAGGAATCAATCTCATGACCCTGAGATCATGACCTGAGCCAAAGTTGTGATTCTGGTGCTTAACCGATTGAGCCACCCAGGCGCCCCTCTAAGTATGCTTTTATAGAATGGTTTTTCTTTTGATTCTGAGTCAAATTTTATGCTTCTTTGCATATCTGGTAATTTTTGCATACGATGCTGGATATTACGTATACTACATTTTCAACGTATTTAGATTTAGTTGTCTTCCTTTAATAGGTATTGAAGCTTATTTTATTATTTTAAGATTTTATTTATTTATTCATAACAGACACAGAGAAAGAGAGAGAGAGAGAGAGAGAGGCAGAGGGAGAAGCAGGCACCATGCAGGGAGCCCAACGTGGGACTTGATCCCGGGTCTCCATCATCACACTCCGGGCCAAAAGCAGCGCTAAACTGCAGGGCCACTGGGGCTGCCCTGAAGTTTATTTTAGAAGGCAGTTAAGTTACTTATATATCAGCTGGATCCTACCAAGGCTAGTTTCATTTTCAGGGCAGTTATGGAGCTCCTTCAGTCTACAGTTACTTTATTTATCCTCACATCCAAGATTTAACCTTCAGTGGAATCCTTAGGTGTTTGAATAGGTCTCTTCACTCTGATTAGGAACACAAATGATTCCTAGCTCTGTGTGGATGCTGGGAATTATTCAGCTTATAGTTTTCTCTCAGTTATTCTTTGTCTAGTTGAATGGATTTCAATTTCATCCTATACTCATGTGGATTTGTATTTCACCAAACATTCAAGGAGACTCTTCTACAGATTTCTTCTGTATACAAACTCCAGTCATTTTGCTTCCCTATGCTCCTCTCTCTGTTTCCTCAGCTCAGTGAGACAGGCTTTCTTGGGTTTCCCCTCCTTGTGCCATCATCTGGAAACTTCCTCTAGACAAAAAGTAGGGTCATCATTCTGCTTACCTCTTTTCTTTCCCTTCTTTCAAGGACCAGAGTCCTGTGCTGCTATTGTCCAATGTTTGAAAACAGTTGTTTCATACACTTTGTCTAGTCTTTTAGTTGTTTATGGAAAGAGGGCAAGTCCTGTACTGGTTGCTCTCTCACAGACAGAAGTAGAAGTCCTACACTCATAAAACTAACAGTTAACAATATATACCTTAGGGTCCCATTCAGTATTTGAGTCACTGCCATAAGGTACAATTATGGTAATACTAGATATAGCAAAATCTCTGATAAGAAACTGACTTAAATGAGTGTAAATCATACTTTCAGGAAATTGACTGTAAAAAGGGAGTAGGGTTAGATTTTTGCAGTAATTTTAATGTTTTCAATTAATCTGAGTCATGATTTTGATTCCACTTTATGAATTTTAAATGTTCAAATATATTTTTAAATAGACAAGCTCATTCCTTATCCTTTGTTTTTATTATGTAAGTCCTTGATACTGCACACACAGATGCTTTTTTTTTTCACACTTGTAATCACCACTCAGACTCCCTTCAGATAGATTTATTGTTTAATTCTATTTAAGTGATTTGACTCTTGGGTAAAATAAAGAATAGGGAGGGAAGATGAGCTAGTATTATATAGTTCTTTTAAAAGGTACAATTTAATAGATACTAAATTTGGAGGCATAAATCTATAACTCTAGTATAAAGACATAGTTTTCTCCCCTTAAAAAAAATCTGAGGACATTTAATGAAGTTTTCTGAGAAAACACAATAATTTTTATTCATTTTAATTTTTGTATCAGTTATAACATGTAATTATAAAACAACTGAGGTTAATAGAGGTCCACATGCAGACAAACAAGGATGTGTCTCCATTGTATTTGTGGATGCTGAGCATCTCTGTGGTTGCCCACTTTGATCAGTTTTTAATGTACATGGAATGTACAGGCGTCCTGAAGTTCTGTGAAGCAAAACATAAGAAAGACTTTCAGGTACTTCCTGTGCTTACTCAACAAGTCTGTTCCTGTTTTCTGAAAGTAAATGCAAGGTAATAATAGTTTTTTTAAAAGATTTTATTTATTTATTCATGAGAGACACAGAGAGAAGGCAGAGACATAGGGAGATGGAGAAGCAGGCTCCTCACAGGGAGCCTGATATGGGACTCGGTCCCAGAACTCTGGGATCACGCCCTGAGCCAAAGACAGACGCTCAACCTCTGAGCCACACAGGAGTCCCAGTAATAATTCTTTAAAATCCTTTCATTCTCTCCTCTCTCTCTCTCTCTCTCTCTCTCTCTCTCTCTCTCTCCCTCTCCCCCCTAACTAACATCAGTGCTATCCTTAAATAACTACATTTTCCTTTCCTCCTGCTCTCATCATCTTCAACACACAATATAATTCAACAAAACTTTAGGCACACTCCCAGCAATTTGATTATCCTAGCTCAATTTTATTTCTTCAACATAATCCTTTTTGAGGCAACTATGTTATTCTAAAACATACACACACACATACATATAAATTATGCCATTCTAATATATATGTATATAAAAAACTAGAAAGGGTACACTATTGTACTAACTTCATTTTGTTTGTATTGATATTATTTATACATTTTACTTATAATCTTTGAAAGTTGATCCTTTATGAATGATATATAGGAGTCATTTCCCAACCTTCTCCCTACACTGAAGGGCTCACATATGTGTACCTTTTCATTTTGTTATGAAAAAAATGGAAAAGCACAATTAAACAAGTTTAACTTCCAAATGATCTCAATTACACTCTCTGTCTCCTTCAAATGAAGGTCTTTTTTTTCAGGTAGCCTCTTATATTGTTGTCTAATTGAGCTGCCTCACTGGTAAGTCTGCATCCTCCTGCAGGGCCAGGAGCAAGCCCTCTCCATCTATGTGTTCCTATCAGTCCTGGCCCAGGGCTTGGCATACGACGGTCCTTAATACAAACATGTTTACCTTGATTCCCATGGTATTGTTCCTCAGTGTTTTATTCTACTCACCAGAGTGTAAGCATTGTCCCATGTTATCAAGAGCCTTAAGATACTCTGGTCCTAAGTATTTTCGATAAGTTGTTCCATCCTGAAGGTTAGCCAAACATGCTGTGTCATCACTGAAGAGCAGGTCCTTGGATGAGGATTGAAACATCTGGAACATCCTGTATTCAAACCCATTTCTTCCAAAGAGCTCCTGAGTTAGACAGACAGACATACAGACAGTGAGCACAGTGCCAAGGAGCATGAGGTTGTGCTTCTGAGGCTTCTTCTGCTCAGATCTGAGTCTGCTGTGCTGCTCAGCTCCAGCCCCTGGGAGACTTGGGACACACAGCACTATTAAGGCAAAAAATATGGCCTCTGGGTTCAAATCCTGGCCCTAGCTTTGCCTTGTCATGTGACTTTAGGAAACTTCTTGAACTCAGTGAACCTCAGATTACTCATTGGTAAATGGAGATAACACTAAATAGTGAGATAATGTATGTGAAGTAATTGCTAAATGGAAAAAAAAGCTTCAAGTTTTGTGGCCAGTGTATCACACTACTCCAATCACTGCTGGATATTTTCAACTTTCCCGGTCATGCTACCTTTCCTCTTGCTGCCCAAAGAAAGCCCTTGCTGTCTTGCCTCTTCTCTAGGTCTGCCCCAGGCACCTGACTGTTTCCATCTCTTCCTTCTCCTCCTCTCTTTTTCTTTGTTCAGGGGCAGCTTCCCTTTTGGGAAACACATCCCTTCAGAAGTACCTGACCAAGAGCCCTTTGTTTTGCCGGTTCTCCCTGGGTTGTAGTCCTTTAACTGGGATGTGTGGCCAGAATATACTCATCTGGGGCTCTTCCAGGAAGGGGATGTGTGAGTGCAAAAGGCAGATGAGGCTTTGGGTTTTCCTTAAGATCATTTGGTTTAGGCATCCTGCTACTTCATAGCCTTTGTTGGCTGCCTGTAGAGGTCATAAGTTGTCTGAATGTTGGCTCTTGAACTTTCATGAAGCCTAAAACGGTGCTCAGTCTGCCCAGGTTCAGCAATGCATTGGGACCCAACCTAAGTCAGGTAGAGTAGCCTCCATTCTGCTTTTTCCACATATACCTCCTCACCTTAGTGTAAAAGGCACTGAGCCAATTCCCTTATTTCTGTGACAGAAGAAGAAAGAGACAACTCTCATGGAGGAACTGAACAAGTCCATGAGGTACCAGGAGTGTGCTCAGAAAGGCAAGTGGGTCTCAGGGAGACCCTTCAGATACTCATGTGTCCGAGGCTTTTTCAGTCCACTTGAATATCCTAGATAACCCCAAAGCGCAAAGTAAACATAGCCACCAGCTAGCTTTTTGCTTTCATCAGAGGCAGGGCTGCAAGAATCTAGTTCCACTGCCCAGGGAGAGAGGGTATGAGACTGGGCTGGGTGTGTCAGTCAGTTCTGAAGGTGCCTGAGCACTCAGTTGGGGGGAATGTGTGGACAGGACCTCCTCTGTGCCTATACCTGTTGATTGAAGAGCATTCTGCGAACAGAAGCTGCCTTATCTTTCCTTGAGACCACAGCATGATTTGGGACTATGGCCAGGTGGCACCTGTGAGCTTCAGTCACAGGCCTCCTGGTACCATCAAGGCACAGCAGCTCAAAGTCTTCTTGCTTCAGATCTTTAGCCCATGCTTCAGGGTTCTTTCCTGTGGAGAAGGAAGGTCAGTCAGCCACAGCTTCAGTCAAGGTGCCCTCCCCCGGGGGCTGTGACCTAACTAACGATGTCTGGAAGAATCACAGACACAGGAAAATGAAATAAAACTTTAAAAATAAAACAGAAGAGAAAAATTCATGGTTATAAATTCATAGCCTCTCTGGTTAATGCCTTTTCAGTCCTGTTAAAGGGCAAAGATTTCTTAAACAGGTCTGACAAAGCACTAGCTAGAAAGAAGGCTGATAAAAAAAAAAAAGAAAGAAAGAAGGCTGATAAATTGAACCACATTAAATATTAAAATGTTCATCATTAAGACATCATTAAGAAAATGAAAAGGCAAGCCTTTCAGAGAGAAACAAGATATTGTCAATTCATGTAGCTGACAAAAACTTGTATCCAAAATATATAAGGAATGCCAATAAATTAAGAGAACCAGACATGCTTTAATAAGTTTCCTGGTTGCCCAACTGGGGAGTGACTTCTCGGCAAACTCAGATTTTTTCCAAGGGAGGAAATGACAGCACAAGCACACACCTTCAGTGTTCTGGAAGACGGTTGTCTCCTTCACAAAGGCAACATCTCCCTTCTCAACCAGACACCTGCACAGCAAGGATTAGGTCAGGGAGGGTCAATAGGAGTGGGAGGTGGAGACACCCAGAGGGAACCATCGAGAAGATCACAACCCCTCCACCGGAGCCCCCAGGCACACTGCACACTGACCACATCCACACACACAACTGTAACACTCAGCTGTCCCTGAGAATTAGAGGGGAACTGTAATAGAAAAAGAAACCTGCTTATTTTTGTTTCTATTGTCGATAACCACTGTTTGGTTCCTTATTTTAAATACTGTTTGGTTTCTCCAAAGAAGGTTCTCCTATTAACAGGCATGTTCAAGGATGACTCTCTGGTGTGATCAAAATTCACATCAGAGATTAAAATCAGCATGGGAGACATGATCTTGACGTAGTCTTTTCACATCCATATGTCTAGTCAGCCTTAATGATCACTAGTTAATATGCATCACTAGATATGTGTTCACACATATCTTAATATTTCTTAATACCCAGAAAAACATTTGTCTGTGTTTAAAGTCCATTCCTTATGAGAAATGTTGAATACATTAACAATCAGTTCTACGACATCCAGTCAGTTGGCAGTTGACATTAATGATTCATTTTCAGGAACACCTCTCTGGTTTTCTCTCTCTCCTAACTTCAGGTCTCTCTATACTTAGCTAGGATCAATTACTTTCATTCAAGTTTCCTAAATTCCTTTTGCCCTGTTTCTTTCCTCTTCTTGCTCTTCATATAATTCCAGGCCTGAATATGGATGACCTCAGGTGTGTCTGCACCTCAGCAGGGAGGCAGACCAGAGACCTTCATGATCATTAACTTCTAGGCCTTCCTGCTTTCCTTGCTCTTCTCTAGATCTGTGATTCTCACATATGGGCTGGGGTCAGCAGCATCGGCACCAGCTGTGAACCTGTCAGAATTGCACATTGTTGGGCCCCACCCCAGACCTACTAGATCAGAAACTTCTTGGGTGCGGCCCAGCAAACTGTGTTTTAAGAAGCCCCCTGAGAGATTTTGTGCCCTAATGGTGAGAACCACTGTTTGAGAGGGCCACCCTCCCTATTCTATAGAGCAATGACCAAATCGTTTTCCAGATTCCTGCATGCCTCTGTCTCTCCACATACCCTTTCAGCAGCACCTCACTCTGACAGGTGCTCCTGCTTCCCAGAGAAAACAGGTATCATTACATAGGCTTTCTTTCAGCCTCCCTCTGCCAAATCTGTCCGCCCAAGTCTCCAGTGCTCTTCTCCTGCTCTCTAGGCACAAAGAAGGAGTGGAGGTCTCCCTCCCAACAAAAGTGTCTTTCCCAGGTACCCTGCATCCCATCCCCACCCACACTCTTAGGCACCTTCCCATAGTTACCCTCTTTTCCTTGTGTAATTGGAATCTTTCTCCATTCACTGGGCTCTTTTTTATCAGCATTCATACTTCTTTTCTTTTTTAAAAAGCAATAATCTCTATCTTGATCCCACACTGCTCTTAGTGATGGGCCTCCCCCCCCCCCACTCATCCAAACACTTAAAATGAATCATTGCACTTTCGATCAGCACCGCTTCACACCACCCTCACTGACTCCTGCCAGTCAGCTTATGGGACTGACTGTTGAATCTGCTCCCACCAAATCCAGGGGCCAGTTTACCATACTCATTTTATTTGACCTCTCAAGGTCATCCTTTCCCAATTTGAAATATCACCTTTGTTATACACCAAATATAATGTACCCATGTATAAATAAGTCTTTGAAGTCTATTCTCTCCCACTGATTTGTCATTCTTGCATGCAAACCAGTATGTACTGATCATAGTATTACAGTATTATATTGTATTATAATGTGATTTTTATAGCTAGGAAAACAAAATTCCCCTTGTATAATTTCATTTAAAAATTCTTGACTCTTGTTTGGTCTTACTTTGAGAACTGACTCCTTCCCCCCACACTCCCCAATCCATCTGGTCACAGCTAAAACTAAAACTAAAACTTTTAGTTTAGTTTAGGCAGCTAAAACTTAATAATGCAGCTTTGCTGCATGAGTGGTGTGAACACGAAGCCTTCACTGGAACTGGGCTGACAGTCCCATTTCCTGAGAATTGGGATGAATACATTGTGGTCTGTGTTTGCTTCTTTATAACTGAGAAGCTAATAATAATGCTAGTCACAGACATTTTCTTTCATGTAAACTGAGAAATAGAGAAAACTATCCTGCAGGAAAAGAGAAAATGAGGCAGATGTGAAGAGGGAGAGAAGGAGGAGGAGGAAGAGAAAGAAAAAGAGGAGAAGTAGAGAAGGACAAAGAAGGAAGAGTGTGTTATCTTATGCTAAACATTCATTCTGGAATTCTAATTTAACTAGGTGTCCTCAATTTCATCTGGCAACTCTTACCTTGAAGTATCTTGGCTGATTTCTGAGGCTCAAGTCTCAGGCCTTATAAAGAGTAAGCACCTTCAGTTTTTTCACTTTCTTTTTTTTTTTTAATAAATTAATTTTTATTGGTGTTCAATTTACCAACATACAGAATAACACCCAGTGCTCATCCCGTCAAGTGCCCCTCCTCAGTGCCCATCACCCATTCACCCCCACCCCCCGCCCTCCTCCCCCTCCACCACCCCTAGTTCATTTCCCAGAGTTAGAAGTCTTTATGTTCTGTCTCCCTTTCTGATATTTCCCACACATTTCTTCTCCCTTCCCTTATACTCCCTTTCACTATTATTCATATTTCCCAAATGAATGAGAACATACACTGTTTGTCCTTCTCCGATTGACTTACTTCACTCAGCATTTCAACAAAGAAGACTTTGTTCATTTTATTAAAGGGAAAAGACATTAAACAAGTAGATAAAATATATAGTATTCTAAAGAGTGAAAGATGCTTTAAAGATATAAAGCAAGAAAGAGGGATATGAAATATTGGCAAAGGCATATGTGTGTGTATGTGAAATTATAGTGGCTAGGAAAGACTCCCTGAGAAACCCTAAAGGAAATGAGGGAAGTAGCTATGACATGAGTAGGAAGAGCACTCCAGATGAGGTAAGACCACGAGCAAAGGCCCTGAGGCAGGAGAGTTGATAAAATCACTGAGGGCATAGAGAGAAGTTCAAGGACAGAGCCTTGGAACACACCAACATGCTGAGGGTAGGAAAGTAAGGTGGAACCAGCAAAGAGACTGGAGTGTAGTAGCAGGAGAGGGAAGAGGGAATCCAAAGACTGTGGTGTCCTGAAGCCAAGGAGGAAAATGCATCCATGGAGAGGAAGTGATCCATGGTGCCAATAATGCTGGTAGATGAAGCATTGCAAGGACTGAGAAGTGGTCATTAGATTTATTTACCAACACAGAGGTCATTGGTGATTTAGAAGTGCAGCTGGCAGATGGTGATGAACCAAAGGGGGTGTGTGGTGGGAATATGCACCAGCAATGAGAAGGAATGAATTCTGTAGGTAATTTTAAAAAAAATAATAAAACCAACTCCACTAGTTGGGGGTGAGAGAGAGGAATAGACTCTTAAACTGGGTTCTGAGGAGACTGAAAGGAGAGAAATTGGAATGAGGGAGGATATTAAACTCCTTCAAGGAATTTTATTTTTGTTTTTTATTTTTTTTAAGATTTTATTTATTAATTCATGAGAGAGAGAGAGAGAGAGAGAGAGAGAGAGAAAGAGAGGCAGAGACACAGGCAGAGGGAGAAGCAGGCAGGCCCCATGCAGGAAGCCCGACGTGGGACTTGATCCCGGGTCTCCAGGATCATGCCTTGGGCTGATCTAAACCGTTGAGCCACCTGGACTGCCCAAGGAATTTTATTGTAAAGAGAAGAAGAGAAATGGGAAGTTGTTGGAGAGGAAAGTGAAATCAAAGAAAGATTTCACTTATTTATTTATGTTTAAGATGAACAAAACAGCAGCACATGTGGATGCTGGTAGAAATGACCTAGTAGAGAAGATGTGATGGTGCAGGAACAAGAGGGAAGAAGTGCCAAGCAATGTCTTTGGATGGGTTGGAGGAGAGGCTGGTGCAGGTCCAGGACAGGGCTGAGTGAGGTGACCCAAGCAAGCGGAGGGAGGGCGGTGTCTGTGGGCACAGATGCCATATAGGGGTAGATGTGGCAGTGGGACACTGTGGCATTTCTTTGGACTGCTCCAGTTTTCTCAGGTAAAATAGGAAACAAAGGAATGACAGATGGAGGGAGATGTGTTGGAGGACTGAGGCGAGGAGAGAGTATGGACTCATCTTCTAGAAGAGTGCCTGGGGAAGGGACTAGGTACATGTGCACATTTGAGGTGGGTTCTCCTTGCTTTAATAGGGGGGAGGGGGTTGGGTCAGGCATCCCAGCAGTGAAGACACCAAGGAGTGGAACTTTGGACCTAACCAATGCCCTGCTTCAGCCAGGAGATCTCGGGCAGGCATTTGAGGCTATGCACGGGGGAATGATTACTGTGGTTGGCTGTGGAATGGATGCTGGGTGTGGAGAGGAAAAGAACATGAAGGGGAGACAGAATGGGGAAGAGTTTACAGGATCTGTAGGTCACAAGTCTGTAGGAATGAAGAGCTGTTGGAGTCAGGAAACCCAAGGGAGTGAAAAGGCAGGCAGGAGGTAGTGGGGGGACTGAGCCATCAGAAGCTAAGGTGGTTCTGTGGGCATCCAACCTCATTTAGGGAAGAGGGCAAGTTGTGTTTCAGGACAGAGTTCTGACCATTCTGGGTCCTCTGTGATATCATATTAGTACCTATAAGACCATCAACCCTAATACCAATGCACTTTCTGATGTAAAAAAACAAAACAAAACCAAGAAACAACCCACACACACACACATGCTACTTTAGCCTAAGTTTCATGTTTAGCATACATGTAGTGGGATCTGTGGAAATATGTCATTATGTATGGCTTATGAAAGAGATAAAACTTTGGTGATGGCAGGACAAAGTCATCTGGCAGTGTAACAAATAAAGGGGTCCTTCCTAGATGCCCACACATTCTCCACACAGCAGCCAGAAAACCCTGATCCACACCACATCCTTACTGCCTCAAAGTGTCCCATGCTGCTCAGCATCCTTAGAAGTAAATCTATCTCCTTGGTCAGGCTGATAGGGCACTGAGACATGTCCAATGCCACAGCTCCGGCCTCGGTACCCGCACAATCCACTCCCTCCCATGCCCCACTTCAGGGCCTTCTTTTCTGGCCTCTCACACAGCATGATTTGTCCCACCTCATGCCTTTGTCTTTGCTGTTCCTTCTTTCTTGATACTCTTCCTCTGTATTTTGTCAGGTCTGATTCCCTCTCCATATTTAATTCTCAGGTCACATGGTCCCTTCTGCTTGCTGAGGCTTTCCCTGGCCACCATTTTCAAAACTTTCCCCTACCCAAGTCACTACTACACCACCCCCCTTGGTTCCTCTGTAGCACTGTCAGGAAGTGAATGGCCCTCATGGCCCTCATTTATATGTTTATTGTCCTGTTCTCCCCATGAGACAAGTGCAGGGGAGCTACATGTGTCTTATTGCTGCTACCCCTCTACCTAGACCAGTACCTGTCACACAGTAGGTGCTCAATAAAGGTTTCTTGAATGGCTGGAGGAGCACAGGAATACCTATTTTTAAAATGTACTCATTAGGGGGATCCCTGGGTGGCGCAGCGGTTTGGCGCCTGCCTTTGGCCCAGAGCGCGATCCTGGAGACCCGGGATCTAATCCCACGTCGGGCTCCCGGTGCATGGAGCCTGCTTCTCCCTCTGCCTGTGTCTCTGCCTCTCTCTCTCTCCCTCTGTGACTATCATAAATAAATTAAAAAAAAATTAAAATAAATAAATAAATAAAAATATTAAAAATAAATAAATAAATAAATAAATAAATAAATAAATAAATAAATAAATAAATAAATAAAATAAAATGTACTCATTAGGGACTCCTGGGTGGCTCAGTGGTTGAGTGTTGCCTTTGGCTCAGGTCGTGATCCCAGGGTCCTGGGATTGAATTCTGCATCAGGGTCCCCAGGGGACCCTGCTTCTCCTTCTGCCTGTGTCTCTGCCCCTCTTTGTGGGTCTCTCATGAATAAATAAAATCTTAAAAAAATAAATTTTAAAAATAAAATAAAATTTACTCATCAGCCAGGTGTAAGAAGCACATGTCCAATACTCCTCCTCTAAATTTAAACTGGAACTCTAAAAGATTCTGTGACTTGTTCACATCACACAGAAGAAAAGAACAAAAGTAGAACCAGGGTCATGACCCTGCACCCATCATTCTTGCCTCTCCTCAGGTGCCCTAAGTCAGCTGGTCTGCAGAAAAGTGTTCCAGAAAGGAGCTGGTCTTGAGTCCTTGGGGCTAGTGGGAATTTGCAGTTCTGGTTTCTAATTCTGGTTCCTCCTATATGCAGCATCCAGATTCTGGGGCGATAGAAAAGGTAAAAAGGACAAGAAGTTCACTGGATTGGTGCCAAAGAGAAAGGTGCTGCATGGATACTACTCACCTGAACGCTCCACTGAAGCCATAGTATCTCTCGTGGTTGTTGGGAGCACATGTGTGGGCTGGATCACTTCCACCACTGCACAGAGCACAGAGATTTGAATTTGGATCAGATCCAGGGGCACAGCTTTGACTGAAGAATTCATCTGTGCAGAAAAACACAAGAGGTCAGCTCTTCTTGCCCGTGTTAGCAAGAAAGCTGCAGAATTTGTCTCTAGAACTACCAGAATGTTGTAAAGACACATTCAGGTGTTTGGTACCATATTATTACAAATTAGAACCTTTTGCAACTAGAGTAAAAGGGGACTGGCTGAAGTTGGCACAAGGGTCTATGGGATAGAAGTGACACAGGGTGGAAGTATGGAAGGACAGACACAGATGTGATCCTAAGAGAGTGAACAAAACCAAAAGCCCCACTTGGTTGATACTGACCCACATTTTTCCTGACCTCTTCTATCCTTACCCTCCCTTATAAGTTATCCCATCTTGATCCAAATCCAGAAGGGGCCTGAGAGGCCCAGCTGCCAAGCCCTGGCTGGACCCCAGGGCACTGTGGTGAGGACATCACATAGGCCCCACGCTCCTGGAACTCAAGTCCATGAGCAACAGTCATAACTCAAGGAGCCACACCAGTGAATCTGTACCCCCACCCCCTACTCCAGCTTGCAATGGGAAAGACTAATATGGTTCTCTAGAGCTACAGGTAAAGGAATCTGGTACAGGCCTGGAAATCAGAGAGAGGCCTCAAGTCGAGAGATGAAGAATGAATAGCAATAGTAATTAAGCAAATTACTTAAGTGAAGGATGAAGGGACAAGAGTTTTCCAGACAGGGAGGAGCATCTGTAATGGCCTAGGGGAGGCGTTGGGGTGGGGGGCAAAGGCACAGAAAGGTTAGTAAGAGTTTATTGGGCTAGGCCACCCAATGCAAGAGTGAGTTGGGAGGACGCAAGGTCCAGACCTGCTTTTGCTCCTTTGTGTAAGTTTTGTTCTTTATCCTTAGAGAAATGGGGAGCTTCTGAAGGGCTACAGCAATGCTGGACCAAGGGTAGTGTGCAGGATATTTCCAGAACTGCACTTTGTAAAGATTGGTCTACCAGTGGGAATGGAATGGGATGGGATGGGATGGGATGGGATGGGATGGGATGGAATGGAATGGAATGAAATGGAATGGAATGGAATGGAATGGAATGGAATGGAATGGAATGGAATGGAATCCAGGGCAGATATGGGGTGCAGGCAGCAGGTTACTGTAATAGTCCAGGGGAGATGAGGGCAGTTTGGACTAGAATAGCACACATGGGGAGGGAGACAGTGGAGGGACTCATCACTGCTAATTGATTGGTGCATGGAGGATGACAGCTTGGTTTCTAGCTGGGGCTAATGGATGGACCATAGGGTCCTCCACCAAGCTAGGCAGCTCTGGAGCAGGCTCAGAAGAAATTATGCATTCTATTTAGAGCTTAATTGCTTTTGAGATATCCAACTAGATAGCATTAATAGGCAGTTCAATATACACAGGTGTGAAGGTAAAGCAGGGATCTGTGCTAGGGATAAAGACACAATAGTTATCAACATATAGATATAATAGTAATAATAGCAAACATTTATCTAGTGCTGGCTATATGCCTAGTTTTGTATATATAATATTATTTGTTTAGATGACAAATGAGGCTGTAGTCATGGATGTGAGTGCCTGTGGAGGAAAAAGTTGCTTTAAGGAAGTGAAACATGTATTAACCAGACTGGGAAAGGGGACTTTGAAGGGGCAGGAGAAAAATCAATCCACTGTGTTTTCACAAAAGCCAAAAGATAGTGTTTTGGGGTGATCTGAAGAAAGAGAAGGCATGGAGGAATGGACTGGAGCATGACCTTCCAATTCAGCAACATGGAGGTTACCGGTAGCCTTGACCAAAGTCCTTCTATGGAAGGACACAGAGAAGCCAGAGGACAGGAGTGGAGGGGTGAGTGGGAGAGGAGTGGCTCAGACCACACTGTTAAGAAGCCTGGCAGGAAAGGAGGAGGAGAAACAAGTCAGAAGCTGGAGGAGACTGCTGAGCAAGGGAGGACTTTTAAAGATGGGAAACACTGGATGTGTTTAATGTTGAAAGAAATTATTGGCTACACTAGAGAGAGAAGTAGTAACCCAAGGTATGAGGCTCTCGGGAGGGGACCAGGGGATGGGCCCACACCCAAAGTACAGGTGGAGGGAGGCTGAGCAGGTACAGCCATGAGGAGGCCCGCAGCTTTGGCCAGGGGATGGTGACGGGGAAACTTTCTGACCATTTCAGTTGTCTCTTGCTGCAAGATGAATCATCTGCTGAGAAAGGATGGTAGATGGGAGTGGGTTGGAAATGTGTGGACAGTGAGGACATTAGGATGATTATTGGAAAGTGTGGGGGTGTGGAGTGGTGACACAGTGAGGGTATGACTCTGAGAGGCCCACTGAGGCCAGCAACTGGGGCATTTCCAGCGGAGTGAACCACTCTGCCCCATGACTTCTCCAGCCATGTTTAGCTGCAAAGGTACAGAGAGTGAAGAGAGCGGGTAATGGGGTTCATGCAGAGGTGAGATTTGTGAGGTGCCTGGGGAAAGCAGGGGACCAGGAGCCTTTTAGGTATTGGCAAAAGTGCTGCTAAAATGAATAGTATGAGAATCTAAGGGAGATAAGGATGCAAGTGAAAAGGCACCCAAGGACTTGCTGGTACATGATTTTCAGTCCTCACAAAGCAGCCAGTCTGGTTTCTATGGGAAAACAAAACACACACACACACACACACACACACACACACACACACACACACCACTCTTGCTCTACAACTGACTTGTTCCCGGAGCCAGTTGTAACACGTAAAGGCTAGGGTATTTCCCTGATATCTGCCCTCTAGGCCAAGCCACTCTCAGAAGGAAGGAGGTTAGGTGAAAGGGGAACACCTGCTCAAAGAGAGAGACAGCTCACCTGTAATAGCTGCCCAACTCTTGACCCCACTACCTGTTTATGCCATCCTTTGGCTTTCCGTGCCATTGAACTCATTCCTGTCCTACACAGGCATAGGCACAAGGAAGGGGCTGGCCACATCGCCTCCCAGAACACACTTACCAAATTTACAGGACCTGGTTTTGTTGTATATTAAACCCATGGGGATGATCCAGCCTGCAGAAGTACCAACTGCAGGGTGGCAGGACTTCTTGCCTTGCAGAGAGTACCAAGTGAGGGAGGGATCTGATTTCTTAATCACTGCCACGACGTAATGACCTTGCAAGAGAGATAGCAAAATGCAAGTTGAGTAGCTCCAGGACCCTCTGAAAATGTATTCTAGGGCTGCTACAGTTAGTGCCTGCCTGCCACTCTCCCAGGGGAGGGGGAAGCTTGAGTCCCTCCCAATAACTATCATTATTAGGTATGGGGCCAAACAGTCTGACACTACTGCTCTCCAGGCATGTCTACATACATATATCCAGAAATATTTACACACATACTTCATACTTTTTCATTGGAATCCCGTTATACATTCTTTACTGCAAGATGCTTTGTAATCCCTCTACTGGTGGGCATTTATGTTGTGACCCACTTTGCCATATTACAAATAATCTACATAAATCCTTGTACATATAAGTGTGCTTCTGTTGAAATCCAAAAGAAAGAGCTTTAATAACTTCTTTTTTAAAGTTAAGTCTGGGCACTTGGGTGGCTCTGCCTTTGGCTCAGGTTGTGATCCCGGGTCCTTGGGAGAGGGAGTCTACTTCTCCCTCTGCCTAGGTCTCTGCCTCTCTCTGTGTGTATATCTCACAAATAAATAAATAAAATCTTAAAAACTAAAATTAAGTCTGATTTTCTAGATTTATGATAACATCATTTTCTAATAGTGGCGATTGACTCTCTTTTTTCTCCAATATTAAAGATATTTTTCTAATCTTTTAAATCATACTGCATTCATTTCCAAAGTGATACCAAGTGTCTTTGTTGGGAGTGGGCCTTTCTTCTCTTATTCTTGATTCTAATGGGAACACCACTGATACTTCATATATTCTTATCCCAATACTCTACAACTGAATTGTGCTTATTGAGTGAGGCCTAAACAGCAAAGCTGAATTTACAAGAAGATTAGAATCCTAAATCTTCAGAATTAGAAGATAATGTGGTCCTCCACCACCACTCCGAACCCCTCTCCCTACTACACTCCCTTTCTTGCCATTGTGGTTCAGGTTTCTACATATTCAAGCCTGGAAAAATTGGAGGTCTGCATTGCAGGTGGAAGACCTGCCTTGCCAGTTACTTCCTGAATAACCTCAGACAAGCCACTTATATCTAGGATCCTCAATTTCTCCTCAGTAAAATGGTGTCAATGATACCCATCGGGAAGGGGGGTTATTTGGGGGATCAGATGTCCTAATATGGGCACACTGTACAGTATTAGGATAGTATGGGGGGAGGTTACATTGCTGGGTTTCAGCGGTGCTGCTAGTGGCACAAACTGCACCAGAGCCCCTCTCTCAGTGCAGCAAATTCTCCTAAGGCCACAGCAAACCCTTGCTTGCCAAACTGTGCTCTGTTACACCACTCCAGCAGCCAAATGCATTAATAGTGCCTTTCTGGATGTGTAATATTCCTGTACAAATGACATTAATTATTACCATCCTCTGTGTGTGTGTGTGTGTGTGTGTGTGTGTGTGTTTGGGGTTGATCCCTCTCTGTCTCTACTCAAATCTAACCTTCTCCATCACAGCCAGTCACCCTAAACTGTCTTCTAAGCATCTTTGCTGACCTGCATTTGCCTATTACTGCGTTCCTGGAAATTTCAACCATTCTTGAAGCAGAGTTCTTTCTGACTTCATGTATTCTATAATCGATAGACTGCATGGCTTATGAAATACCAGCCCTTAGTGTTGGGGATAAGACACAAGTCACTGAAGACTGTTAGCCATAAAAGCAGAGGGGGAGAGAGACAGCATATCATAGGGCTTGACTCCTGTTGCACATGGAGGGGAGCTGCTGCAGGGGAGCTGCTTTGCACTCTAGAGGCCTTGGTGGAGTGTGGGGCTGCAGGGCCTCTGTGACCCTGTGCTCAGCAGGGAACAGAGATGTTGCTGGTGCTGTGGTGGTCCAAACCCACCCGCCTCTCCCAGTCCACCTGTCTCATAAGAAACTCCAAAGCCAAGGATGCACTTGTTTTCATCTCAGGGTCCTCTACCACAGTTGTTTTTCAGCCTCCATGTGCATCAGAATCAGCTGGAAGGCTTGTTAAAACAGAGCAGTGGCCCCATCCTTGGAGTTTCTGACTCAGTAGATTTGGGACGGAGCTTATATCCAGGATATAAGAATTTGCATTTCTCACAAGTTCTCAGGTGATGCTGATGCAGCCAGTCCAAGCACCACACTAGATTGAGAAACACTGCTGTTTTCCAAAATTAAGTACTTCGGGGACAGATACAGACCATCCCTGCTATGTAGAGATACAAATGGGAGAACTTGTCACCTGGTCTATTCTAAGGACAAGACCAACTCCTCTGTTATTAAAATCAGCTGGCTAAGAGCTAAAGGGTTGAGTTCATTTTCCTCCTCCTCTTCATTAGAGCATCTGTGACTCTCCTCTCATGAAGCCTCCACTTGGCCCAGAAGTGCTAGGGATGGGCTCCTGCCTCCTGGTACAGAGAAGGCAGGCAGCATGTGACAAGGATAGGGTGGTGTGGGAAGGGCAAGGGGCTTCCAGTCACACTACCTCTTATCAAGCCTGGGTGCAGCCACTCCCCAGCTGTGTGGCCCTGGGACTCACTTTCCCCATCTACACAACATGGGATGATGATGCCCACATCCTAGAAGATTGCTGAGGAGAGTAGACGGGAATAGTGCAAGCAGGGGTCCTTTGTTGACTGTAAAGTACCCCACAAACAGTAATTATTGCCACAGCTTGTGACAGATTTGCTCCTTAACAATAACCTGTAGCGGTAGTGGCTCATTCTCCCGGTTTCTTTTTTTCTTTTTTTTCTTTTTTTTTTTTTTACAACTCTAGTAACTTTGGTTCATTTTTAAGACTTTCCTCACCCTCTCCCCAACCATGGCCTGTACCTCTGAGCCCCAATGTTACTGATTCTGACTCACCTTGTGCAGGTGTATTTACACACGTAGACTCATCCTTGGGCACTAAAAGGAAAAACAGGGTTCATGGCATTAAACTGTCATATTGCTCAACCCAGAGTCATGAGCTTCTAAATCTCAAGAGTGAGGAGTAAAATAAGAAGCATTAGCTAAGCAGTTTATCACTGGTTGTCAACAAGCCAGGATTCTGCAGCTATTAAACCCTTCTCATCCCTGTCCTTTGCCATATGAACATCAGGTTCCACCCCAGTATCTCCCCACCCCTCAGGGAGTCAGAGAAAGAAAATGAGATGTCCTTCGAAGAGGATCAGAGACCACTGAAGATCCTGACCCAGATCCTTTTGCATTGGCTAAGTGACTCAAGTCATCCTGACATCTTTCTTCCCTCTGGACTGTGGTAGGCAATCATTATATTCTTGTTATGTTGGAGGGGCAAAAGCCAGTCCATGGAGTCAGAAAAACCTGGATACAATCTTCATTCTACCATGGACACATCATGTAACTTCTCTAAGCTGTAGTTTTTATATCAGTAAAACGGAGCTATCATTATTTACTTCAGAGTTGTTTTTTTTTTTTTTGAAGGATAGTGTATGGTTTCCTTCTCCCACCTGCCTAATAAGTTAAATTGGTGAAATCCTCTTTTCCCCAGATTTATTTATTTTTATTTTTTTTATTATTTTTTTTTTGTGAAAGGATCTCCACTGAAGAACATGACCTTCTCCAACCCTTAACCTTCCAGTGCAGCTAGGGTGAGTTAATTTTGGACTAGTGAATTTGGCAAAAGTATCAAGCGAGGCACATGTGGCTTAGCCCCTACTTTCTTTACTGAAGAGAGTGGGGAGGGGATGGTTTAGATCTTTTCAATGAAGCTCTATGACAATACATGTTCTCCTCTGCCTTCAGCCTGGGGTAAGCCAACAGACCTATTCTCCTGAACTAGTGGGTAACTCTAACTCAATGGCAATTTGGAGAGCCCTGCAGCCAGTTCTGTACCATGCCCTCTAATATCACCCTTTAAGTAATAAAGATTTCTTTTGATCTCTTTCTGTCTAACTCTGGGGAAGGAGGATACTATCTGCTAGCCTTTCCAGTTCACCAGTAGTTGATTATTATCTCAACAATGAACTAGATCATTTCCCCTTCTTTCTACATCCATGGCCCAGAGAAAATAAAACACTGAGAGGCACCCCTTCCACTTACTGTAGTTCTCTGCCAGGACAGGCACTAGACGGCACTGGCCTGCTGTGTAGATGAAGCCTCCATCCAAAGTCATGGCATCAGCCTCTCCTTTCTGAAGTTAAGAAATAAATCAGTAGCACAACCCTGAGACCGTTTCCTGTCTCACTGACCCTCAGAGGTTTCTATTTCATTGGCTTTATGTCACATGTCCTTTGGATTAATCAAATCATGGATCACCAAAAACTTCTGCCACTTAAGCACAGGGTTTAGAAAACTGGACATGTTGGGACACCTGGGTGGCTCAGTGATTGAGTACCTGCCTTTGGCTCAGGTTGTGATCCTGGAGTCTTGGGATTGAGTCCCACATCAGGTTCCTATGAGGAGCCTACTTCTCCCTCTGCCTCTCTCTGTGTGTCTCTCATTAATAAATAAATCAAGTCTTAAAAAAAAAAACTGGACGTGTTGACCCACGAACAAGTGCCCAACCCAGATCATGCTCCTTGGCAACTCTGACCTCTCATTAGACCAATGTTGAGTATTGGACATGCCCTCACCACATTTTATTTATGACCACTGTCACTCAGCAATCTATATGGCCAGACTCAGGGATTGAATTTACTGTTTCTTTTTTTAAGATTTAAAAAATTTATTTATTTGTTGGTTTGTTTATATATTTATTTACTTGAGAGAGAGAGAGTACAAATAGGGAGGAGCTGAGGAGGAGGGAGGGGGAAAGCATCTCAAGCAGACTCTCAAGGTGTGCTTGGGCTCCACACAATGGCTCAATCTCACCACCCTTAGATCCTGACCTCAGCCAAAACCAAGAGCTGGATGCTCAACCAACTGAGCCACACAGGTGCCCTTGCATTTACTATGTTTCTATGCAACTTGTTTTTTTCTGTATGATGGAGTTCAATTCTGTTCCCACAATCCCATTAGCACTATATTCAGAGCCCTGGCACAAAAAAGACTTTCAATAAACAATTTCTCTAATTCAATAATTCATTAATAATTAACTTATTATTTCAATCAATGAAATTTTCCAGAAACAGAGCAATAAATGTATACTTACAGTGACAGATAAGATCTCTGAAATAAAAACACACATACTCTCTCTTGGCTTTTGACCTATGAACTGCCCGTCTAGAAATCTATCTTAAAACAGTAGCAACTATACAAACAAAAAGTTACCAAGCCTTTACTATGTGCCAGGCCACTTCTAAACACCTTACAGTGGTTACCTCATGTATTCCCTACAGAACCCAATAAGGTAGGTCCTGTAATTCTTCCCCTTTCATACATTAGGGAAGTAAAGCAGAGGGAAGTTAAATAATTTCTCCAATAGATGGTCACTAAAACTAAAACTTTAGTTAATTTTAATTAACTTTAATTTAGTTAACTTTAACTTAGTTTAATTACTTAGCTTCTGCTTATAACCACTATACCACATAGCCTCCTGGATCTGATATATATTCCAAAGGACATATACCCAAAAACTATTCTATACACATTTTTTCATCCATAAGATGGGCTCATAGGCTCATTGTGAGGATTCAAGGAATTAAGGCAAGTTAGGAGTTCATAAACATGTTTGGCATGTAGTAAGTAATTTCCAAAATATTAGCTATTATTACTATTAAAGATAAACCCAGAAATGTTGAGGTTATAGAACAAAAATCTTCATTTCTATATTGTCTACAATAGTAAAGGATTTGGGAATAATTCAAATGTAGACATTTAGAAATCAGTGAAATAAATTAAGGCAGAAATACTTGGTGGAATATTGTGCAGCCATTGAAAAGATTTTAAATGAATATTTCATTACTTAAAAAAAGTGAACTACTGTACTGACTTTAAATACTAATAACAGATAACATTTATCAGGTGTTTACTATATGCTAGGCAATATCCTGAGCACTCAGATTCATTTAATCCTTAACATTGACAAATTTAAGAGACTATATAAATTGCAAGATCTTATGGTATGGGTTAGTCCCAGGAAAGTTTATCAAAATAAAGGTCTTCTTAAAGAAGAATGTGTGTCTCCTGAGTTTGTCAATTTTTTAGTCTCTTATTTATAAATTTATTTTTTCTAATCACAAAAATATTATCTGCCCATAGAGAAATGGAAAGTTAATAACAATACAACTTCATAACTCAGAAAGTATGTGGCAATAATTTCTGAGTTATAAAGTTGTGAATGATTTTATTTATCTTTAATTTCTCTTTCAACATATATTTTTATCACCAGAAAAAAAAAATTATGCTTACAATTCAAGAACTGAAAAGGTTGATTTGCTTTCACAATCCATAGGGGCCCTGACCACCCCCTGGGATGTCACCCCACTTCCCACAGCTCCTAGGCAGGACAAAACTCAGAGCTCCCAGGACTCTAGAGCTGAGCACCTAAGGAGTCTGTGCCTTGGGCCAGCCTGAGCTGCAGGGGCACATTGAGTAGAGTTGGGCTGGGCTTTGGAGGGTGGGGGCAGCACACAACAGGTGCATCTTAGCCTCATGGCCAATAGGAAGACATATGAGAAGAGGACAGAGAGGCCACATGTCTGGGTGTCCAAGCCCAGCTGTAGAGATGGGGCCCTCCTTACTGTGATGGCAGCGATGCAGTCCTCAGTGGTCTCCTCTATGGTGCACTCTAAGGCACCTCCACTTAGGACACTCCACTCATCACACTTGACCCTCTCATGGTGACCCACTGCACACCACAGCACCCTCGGGGAGTCTTCCACACCTAGGACAGATGGAGAAAAACCAGGGATCCAAAAGAAGTCCCAATATGAGTCTGGGAGCTTAGTGCCACTGGCTACAGAATGGCTACCCACTGGGGCCCTCAATTGCAGCAGCAGAGTGGCCACATCTCATGCCCATATCACCATTCATTCCTACCTATCATCCTCCAGGGGAAATGGAGAACTCAGTACTGAGAATGAGCAGTGTAAGTAGAGCAGTTCCCCACCCTCCTTACCTCACCTCCTTGGGTATATCCTCCTGAGGGAAGACCTTTCTGAGCACCTGCCCACATTAGGACCTTTCAGAGTCTTCTCTGACAGGAATGGGTTCTCCCACCCAGTAGCATTCCCCAGGTGATAGTCATGTGCTCTCATTTGGGTGGGCCTGATGGCTCTCCCCCTTATCCAATGTCTGCGCACCACAGGATGCCCACAGCTAACACAGTGGCTTTTGTAGATGCTCAGTAACTATTGGTTGACTAAATGAAGACAAAAGTAAGGAAAGAAGAAGGAAGTAATGAACCACAGAGATCCAGAGGAAGGCAAAGCTGGATTAACACCCTCCGAAATTCTAATTCCACTCCTAATAGTGGCAGAGGCCACATTCCCACTTAGGTTGTCAATGTGCTAGTTTCCCTGTCATATAGACCTAACACTGGGTGGGGTAATCCTGGTTAATACACAGGAGCAAGAACCATCATTACTTCAAGTTGACTGTAATCTGAAGATCTTCAAAACCCTTTTGTAATCTCATAATTCAGGCCTTTCCCCCAGCTCAGCAGAAAATCCCCCCACTAACCCAGTGCATTTGGTAGCTCCACAGGCCAGTGAAGGTTGCATGAGGTGAGGCTTGCGGGCACTGGGAAAGCCTCTCTGGCTTTCCTGCTCTGCTGTCCTCATAGGCCCTTACCTATCTTTAGACGCTGAATGGCAGAAAAATATTCGTATCCCACGTATAGCTTGGCGTCCATCTTGGGAGGGACTCTTAAAAACCCATCGGTAGCATCTGTAAAGAGCAAGTCCTTCCCATGAGGAGAGGCAAAGAGCTGGAATTCTGTTGACTTGCCTTTTCCAAAATGTTCCTGTTCAAAGGATAAAAGAAACAGAGGAGGGAAGCTGGTATAGAAAGGGAAAGGGAAAACAAATCCAAAACCAGACAAGGACAACTGGAAGGGAGAAAATATGAGCACCTGAGAGTGAAGACAAAGCACCCAGGGATGCCTGGGTGGCTCAGTGGTTAAGCATTTGCCTTTGGCTCAGGTCATGATCCCAGAATCCTGAGATCAAGTCCTGCATGAGGCTCCCTACAGGACATGTCTATCATGAATAAATAAATAAAATCTTTAAAAAAAAAAAAAAGACAAAGCACCCAGGCCACCAAAGTCCCTGTAGTTCCCAGAGTTCTCATGCCTCTCTCCAGGGAATGTTTTACCCCAATTCCAGCCAGTCTACTGGGTGGAACTTCAGGGAAACTGCTAGAGGCTGTTCCCCAAGATCCACACCAAGAGGTATGTGTTGCTATATGCCAGGCAGCTGCCTTTCTCCAATATTCCCATGGGGCAGGCAGCAAAGGCTGTCTCATTGCTGGCCATCCCACTGTCCCCAGTACCTCTGGTGGTCTTCATCCCGGAACTGCTGATGGCCCAGTGCCTGCCACTGAGCCTGGAGGTCAGGAGTCCTGAGTTTTTCTCTGACCTCAAGCCTACCTGGGAATTTTCTGCCTCCAAAAAATGGAAGGGCCCTTTCTTTGCCTACAACTCCCACTAACTGGCCCAAAGCCATTTCTGACTATAGCACCTACCTCCCAAGCTCTTTCTAATGTCTGTCTGCATTTTGCTTTTGCAATGGCAAAATGTGAAATGTCACCTGCTGCCCTCTTTGGCAAACTGCCCCCTCCTTCCTAGAGGTATGCACAGCTTCCTTCCCAGAGCTCAAGAATCCCACTACATTTGCCCTGCAAACCAGTTCCTCTGTCCTCTACAAAGTACACAATCCATGCCCCCAAGGTTGTACCATTTCATCTGATGATAATTTGTATGTGTACTCATCATGTCCCTCACACTTGTCGGGGAGCAACTCAAGGGAAAGTCATTGTCCACTTCATCTCTGAATCTTCAATGCTAAGCAGAGAGCACCAACAGAGAGGGGCTGGGGAATGAATGAGGGTTGGCTAGGAGAGGCTGCTACCAACACCAGACAGAGAAAACACTTATGGCCAGGGAACCTGCCACTGAGGTAAGTCAGGAGGACAGGAGCACATGCCAACAAGGTAATAGGGGAAAACTCCATGGAGGAGGGGTATCTCCCCTACATCCTGAGGACCCCTCTAGAACTGAAAAGGAAAAACAAAGCAATGAGGCACTTCTACGGAGTCTGGTCCATGGAGTCGATGATGCCAGATGAGGGGTTCATGGCCTCTGTTGTCTATAACATTTATACACTGAGTGGCTTGTCAGCAAAGCAAATGATGAGTGGCATGGTTCCTGTCCTATGCCCAAAAGAACTTTCAGAGTGGCTACAATGGAATGTAGGAGAATGCCCCAAATCCAAACAGGGACACCCCCCCTCCCACTGCTAAGCAGGAGGTGAGGATGGAGGGTGGGAATACCTGGGCCTGGTTGAGAAGCTCCCAGATCAAGTCTTCCTTGCCCCCTATGTTTCGAGCCATGACAGCATGAGAAGGGAAGAGGGCCAGGTGGCACTCCCTGTATTTGTCCACAGACTTCCGGCTGTTGTCCAGGCAGAGCAAATCATAGTGGTCACTGTCAGTCATGTTTGCCAGGTTCTCTGGAAGAGGAAACCCCAAATAAGCCAACTGCAGACAGAGCCATGAGCTGTGGTCTCTGCTCTTCCCTGAATTGCAAACTATTTGACCTTGTTGTAATAACTTTCTAGGCCCAAGATGGAGCGGCTGCTGGCCAGGTGCCACATAAACAAGCCAAACTTTAGATAGTTTTTGTGTCCCTGTCAGTCAGCCAGTCCCCAAACACAAGGCCCACTCTGGGCCCTCTCATCCCATACAAGGTTGACTGTGCGGTCCCAGCCAATCAGAAGCAAGGAACCTCCAAAAGGAACCAACCAACCCATACCTTGATCTTGAACTTCTAGTCTCTGGAATTGTGAGACAATAAATTGCTGTTGCTTAAGCTACCCAGTTTGTGGTACTTTGTGATAGCAGCCCTAGCAAACTCATAGAGGTCTTTGGGGTTCATAAATTCTCATACTGAAAGAGGAGGAGTACAATTAGAGTTCTTGTGAATGGCTTAATTAGGTATGTTGTAGAGAAAACACACTCTACATCTTGATATTGAAAGAAAAAATTTAAAATGATTTAGTAACGTCAGAATTAAATCAAGACTCAACATGATTTTTTTTATTTTTATTTTATTTTTATGATAGTCACACAGTGAGAGAGAGAGAGAGGCAGAGACACAGGCAGAGGGAGAAGCAGGTTCCATGCACCAGGAGCCTGACGTGGGATTCGATCCCGGGTCTCCAGGATCACGCCCTGGGCCAAAGGCAAGCGCCAAACCGCTGCGCCACCCAGGGATCACCAAGACTCAATATGATTTTAAAAAAATAGACTCAATATGATTTAACAGCTTCAAGAAGACAGAACTTCTCTACATGAATCACTCAGGGGCCCAGTGGTGGTAGCAGCTCCACACCAGCACTCGTTTGCACCCCCAGAAGCCTGATGGATAGTCATAACCTTCTACTTATAAAGCGGTGAGTGATCTTACATATTAGCAGACAAGGGACTTTCAGCAAAAATAAACCATGATGTCCTGGGACAACCTGTTGTTTCCAGAAAGTGACGATGTCTTCAAATACTTCAGAGTGAGAGTTAGAAGCTGCTGCCCACTGCAGCAACCAGAGGAAATAACAATGACAATTATCCGGAACAACTTGATTCCAGGAGTAGAAACCCACATATGACCCCACTAATTAAATTTACCGTAATAAGACAGGCATCAATTCCCAAAATACCAACAAACCGGGTCAGTGTGTGATAATGAAGGGACAGTGAATTGTGAATGGCTGAACAAAGGAACAAACAACACCGAACTCCTACTTCATGCTAGAGAAAGGCAAGAGGTTATAGGGATCTAAGGCCCATGTACAAAGCAAGGACTTAAAATTCCCTGAGGTAGCCAACATCAATCTTCAAAAAGAACCTAGCATCCTGAATATATGTCTGCTTTAAACATCCTGAGTGATACAAGTGTATTCTGTATATGATAGAAATATAATTGGTTTTGTTTTATACAAAACAAAACCCAGATTCTATAACTTCAACTTGTCTGAAATTTATGTTGTTTCTTTTTTGTTTCTTTCTGATTAGTTGTTCAAAACTGTTAAAAAGGGTTTTTTTTAATGTAGAAACAAAAAAGAAATATACTTTTGTCTACAGTAGTAATGCTTTTGCAACACATATAGTTGTAGATGTGCTAAGAAGTTCTGAAACTGTTTTTATAATTTGTGTGTTTGTTTAAGGTATTTATAGCATTTAGGAACCATATTTACACTGAAGCATTCGGGAGAGTGTGATTACATTTGAAATGGACATTGCAGTGGCTAAGAGAATTATTAAAACCTCTTTCATCTTATTAATTGGTAAATACCATTTAAATGTTCAGAAATTTTGTTTAGTAGATTTACAGACTACACCAATTGAACACTAAACAAAGTATAGCAGAAATGGGTTTTATACAGAAACTCTCCTATTTCATTAATAGTCTTGTCATTACCCATCTCTAGATGTAGGGAAACTTTCAGGCAAGAGCCAGTGCCCCCCGCCAGGGTATGGCTCACATGATTCTTCCTCCATCCAACACTTACCAAACACTGTCACATGCCTCAGGAAGGCCACATCCCCTACACCGTCCTGCAGACACCTGAGGAACAGGACAGCAGTAGTCAGGCCAGTCTCCGTGATTTGGGCTCACCGCTGCCCAGTGCAACCCCTCTGAGGCTCTGCCCTGACCACTGGCTCACAGGGCTTTGCCCACAGTTTCCCGGGCTTCCACGTGTCCTCACAGAGGCCATGGCCCTGAGGGGACTTTATACCTCGACAGCCAACCCGAGTCTGAAGCAAGCAGGAGCTCTGTACCACAACACGGGTAACTCTGGTGAGGAATGATGTGGAGTCACCTTCTATTTCAAAGGTAGCCTAAAGTGACTGACTTTTTTTTTTTTTTTTAACAAAGGCTTAAAGCCTAATATGTAGGATAAAAACTCAGGATAGTCTTGGGTTCCTGGACAGTTTCGTTCTGGTTTTGAGTAGTAGCTTTGTCTCTTATAGACATGCAGAGGTGCCTGCAGGGGGCTGAGATGGAGGTGGGGAGAGGCAGGCACATGACACAGGGAGAAGCTCAGACAGAAAGAAGCAAGCTGGGAGGTCCTGGCTTTTGCCCCAGCTGGACGCCCAAGCCTGTGTCTATGAATCCCAGAGTCCCAGATACAGCTTGGACCCTTCAACGAGTCCCAGATACCTCATTGGTCCAGGAGGGTAGCACACAGACCCTAGGCTCCTCAGGACGTTAGGAGTGAGGGCAGGCCATGGGAGGCACTCAGGACCCTGGGTTTCACACTGACACCCTAGGTGATCTGAGAAAGTCCTATCCACTCCCTGTACATTAGTTTCTCTGTCATCAGAGTGAGGAAGAACGGCAGGGGCGGGGAGGGGGGGCGGGGAGGGGGGCCCCCACTCACTTGAAGGCGCCCGAGTAGCCAAAGTACGGTTCCTGGAAGGAGCAGGCACATTTGTCTGTCCCTTCCCCCACACACAGTTGACACAGCCTGGGGAACTCCATCCTGTTTGCACAGGGGACACAGCTGCCGACGAAGAACTGGGCCATTTCTGCTGTGGCTGCTTAACACAGACACAAGGACCTAAGGGCACGAACCAGCAACCTCCAGGTTGCACGTGTGTGTGAGCGAGTGGCCCTAGGTGAGAGCCCACGAGGCTGCACACACTTCCCAGAACTGTCTCAAGGAAGCAGATGTGCAGAGGTGGCTGATAGTGCCCGTGGCTGAGGAAACGGATGCCCCAAAGTCCCCACTGTTCAGGCATCACCCTAATGCGTGGGCCTGGGGCTCCAGCCCACCAGATGCTTCCTAGCTTGTCCACTCAAGACACGAGGGCGGCTGACCTACACTGAGCCGAGCTGCAATCCCAGTACCACTTGTTAACTCACCGCCATGGAGGCCCTAGGTGTGGTAAGCAGAACTCCAGACACCACAGGACCTCCGACAGTCCCTCCTCACCTCAGAACTCGGTCCCACCCACCCCTCTCCCCTTTGGATCCAGGGGCTGTGGTAGCTTATGGGGATTCATCTTCCAGGAATCCATGGAAAGGTGTTGGGATAACTTGCCTGGTGGTAGGTAGGGGACATGCCAACAGCCACACAGACATCCAGCAGTGTCTGACACTGAGGCGAGGAAGACCCCAAGAGAGGTCAAACATGGTCAGAGCTGTGGCCCCGGCTATAGTAGTCTATCTGGCCCCAGCGGCCCCTTGTCCCTATCACAGGTAAAACGTGAATGCTACAGAGTTGGCAGGCCTCAAAAGTGCAGAAAGACTTGGCCATCATCTTCCAAGGGCTAAAGAGGCACCCTAGGCTCCCTTGGCTCATCATAACTGAACAAGAAGTATCAAAAAAAAAAAAAATCATGCCTCAGGTCCACTCGTCTCTTCTTGCCCCCATCCCAAGCCCTTACCCCAAGCTCTGAGGCCTGCCTTCTAGTGCCTATAATCTCTAGTGAGCCTTCCTGAGAAGCCAGAAGGAAGTTCCCCTTTCTCACAAGCCTCAACCTGGCCCTTGTCAGCCAAATCGCTGGGATTACAACAAGTACGTGGTCGTGGGGAGCTCAGAGACCAAGGCACCTTTGCTGAGAGAAGATTCAGCTGCCAGTTCCCAAGGGTTGCTGCTGCAGCAACCCCAGCTGATCACATTTTACTCAGGGTATCCTCACCCCATCTTGCTGTTTGTGAAACTGGTGTACCTTACACAGTGATTGTATGGCCCCAGTACAATCCGCGTGGGCAACTGGAGTAGGAGTCCTGCCTGAGGGCACCCGGCCTTAGCCAGCTTACCTTCTTCAACAGAGACAGAAGGAAAAAATATCCTAATGGGGATGTTCCACCCAGCAGACCATCCTAGGCCCGGGTGGCAGGACTTCTTGCCTTGGAGCCCTTTCAGCTGGATGTTGCTGTCCTTCTTCACCACGGCCACAGCATAATGGAGGGTTTGTGGATCTGCAAAGAAGCAGAGAGAAAGAAGGGCTAAAGAAAGGTACCACATGGTCACTAACTCATCTTGCAGAGTGTGTGCAATGGGCAGCTTTAGGGGATCCTAGGATCTGTACCATCCCCCGGTGGACAGATAGAAAAGGAAAAGAAAAAGCCTTTGATTAGCAGGAGGGGGGAAAGTCCCTTTTCAAGGCAATGAACACTGGTGCCTTTCTGTCAGCACCTCTAAGCCAGTGGAGACATGGCGCTGGGGGCCACCAGCTACTACAGGGCCTGCAGGGCATGCTCGGGGAGGTCTTCAGCTGCCAGTCATTGTGATGTTACTGTTGGCTTTTCTCCCTTCTCTGCTTCGCTGTCTGCAGCCCAGACATAACGGTGAAGATCTTAGAGGAAGGATGCAGGGGGGACCCCAGGATCTTGCCAGGGCCCCGCAAGTTGGAGTCCGATTGAGGAGGGCAGGGCTCACGCACACAGTGGTGACACTAATGGATAAAAATGGAGAGGAGGCAAAGCCTTATTCTCCGACTCCCCCCAAAGCTCTCATCACAGCATTCACAGACTCCTGCTCTGTAGCACCTGCAGGGGACTCAGCACAGGGGAGAGGCTGTCCAGGTCTGTGTGTCTCCAGAGGCAGGCCTCCCAGGGGTGTCATCCCACTGGGTAGGCGATGAACCCCAGACAGCACTGCCCCCTCTCATCCAGCAGTACCAAGGGTACTTCCATCAGGATGCACACAGCTCATGGCTTTCCAGGCAGAATCCACATTCCAGGCCTTGTGGGTCAGTGTAGATGACAGCCTCCTTCAATCCAAAGAGCTTGGGCAATTCTCTTCAGGTGTAATGTTGACAGAGACCCCGCCTTCCCCCCATGGCTGCAGTGTCAAACCAGAGACCTGGGGCCCCGGGGAGAACGCACTGTTTTTTGACCCATGGAATTCGGCCACGATGGGCTTCAGGTTGAAGGGGGACAGGCCCGCCTCAAACACCAAACCTGCTTCAACGGTCACAGCATCTGCTTCGTTTGCCTGAAAGAAAACAGACCAGACCGTGAATGGAGCTCCCAACTCAGCCCTCTGCTGGGATGTTTGACCCATAGATACTTGCATGGGTCAGACCTCCTTCCCTCCCTAGCGTCCACTAAAATGTCACCTCAGTGAGGCTCTCTCCAACCACATCTTAGAACTCCCACCTCATGCATAAATGCTAGACTCCTCTTTGTTTTTTCCTTAGCCCTTATCAACTACCTGACAAACTTCTGTTGTTTATTGCATGGTCTCCCCTTTGGAATGTAAGCTCCACCTAGATGGGTGTGTGTGTGTGTGTGTGTGTGTGTGTGTGTGTGTGTGTGTTTTCCTACTACAGGTAGATGTTCAATAAATGTTTGCTGGATAAGTGAGTGAATTGTCGTATATTTCTATCTGTAAGTCATGGTTTGCATTCACAGATCTGGATTCCCTGTGAAGTATCTGTCAGCCCAGCATTCCTTCCTTCTTGTGAGAGGCAGCAACTTCACAGCCTTTTCTCAGAAATGAGATTGGATCATTTCTCAACGCATCATGGAAATCATTTTTTAAATTCATTGATTACTTAACGTTTGAAGTAACTTGACTTTATCTGAATTTATGTATTTATTATTCTTTTAGAGATTTTACTTATTTATTCATGAGAGACACACAGGGAGAGGCAGAGACATAGACAGAGGGAGAAGCAGACTCCCTCCGGGTAGCCTTACTTGGGGTCTGATCCCAGGACCCCGGGATCATGACCTGGGCCAAGGGCAGAACCTCAACCACTGAGCCACCAAGGGGCCCCAACTTTATCTGAATTTATTATTGCATTTCTATATATTTTCTTCCTTTTTCCCCATCCTGTCTTCCTTACATACATACTCATATATTTACATATACAGGTGTTGTATATAATTAACACTGTGCTGATTGTATGTATCAGAACCCAACTTAAATTAACTTGAGAAAAGGAGGAATTTAGTATAAAGGTAAAAGGACAAGAAGGCCACTGGGCCTAGTGAACACCGTCAAGGTCAGAAGCAATTTTAGACATAGGTTTCAGTTCGTAGCCATGGGCTCCAGGTTGTGACTATGATTCCAGATTGTTCTTGCTCTTCCCCCGCTTTACATACACCTTCCTTTCTTCCTTTCTTCCTTCCTTCCTTTCTGCCTCTCCCTTAAGCTCCAAGAGCAGGTGCAAAGACAGTAGTGTCATAGAGACCATTTAACCTGCTCCCACGATTGCACAGGGTCAAATTCTTGTGACAAATCATTCCCCTCACTCGTAAATGGATTAGAGAAAAAATAAATAAATAAATAAAAGTTTGTGTGAATGCTTATGATGCTAATCGAGCATTTCCAAATTATTTTCCAGAAATGACACAAAATTTATCATTTATAATGCCAATAGCAATGCATCCTAATGTCACAGAAACCTTCCAGCAAGAAATGCTATCATTTAAGAAATGTTATTACATTTCTAGGTATAAACTGTTACTTTAAGAAATGGCTTTATTGGGCAGCCCAGGTGGCTCAGCGGTTTGGCGCCTGCCTTCAGCCCAGGGTGTGATCCTGGAAACCTCCCACGTCGAGCTCCCTGCATGGAGCCTGCTTCTCCCTCTGCCTGTGTCTCTACCTCTTTATCTCTCTCTGTGTCTCTCATGAAAAAAATAAATAAAATATATTTTTAAAGTGGCTTTATTTGCATTTATTTGCATTTGATTATCAAAAGGATTAATATTTTTCCTTTGTTTATATCATTTATTAGTTATAAATTCTTTTCTGTGAGTGGTTTGTTCATAGCTTATTATTTTTTAAACATTTCTCATACATCTTGCTTTTTTTAAAGATTTTATTTATTTACTTGACATACACAGAAAGAGAGAGGAGCCCAAGCAGGGGGAGTGGCAGGCAGAGGAAGAGGGAGAAACAGGCTCCCTGCTAAGCAGAGAGCCCAACGCAGGGCTCAGTCCCAGGACCCTGTGATCACGACCTGAGCTGATGGCAGAAGCTTAACTAACTGAGCCACCCAGGCATCCCAAGCATTTCTTATAAATTTAAATGATATCTTTATCTAGTTTTTATATTATGCTGTTTTGTCACACTTGGTGTGAATATATTTTCATATGCTTAAGGCTTTAAAAAAATTTTGTCAGAGATTTATAATTTTTACATTTCCAAGGTTATCTACCTCTATGATTTATCTTGTTATGTCTAATCTGTATTAGTCAAATTCAGTCAAACTGAGATCTTGTTTTGGTGAATGAATTAAACATTTCATTTGATTTTTTTTTTTTTTTGCTAAATAGCTACCCAATTGTCCAGTTAAAGAATCTTTTCTCAGCCATTTATTTAGAAAGTTTGCCTTATCATACAAATCTATGTAAATCTACACATATCTTACCTAAACTTAGTAAACTTAGGGCCCTAGTGCCCTAATGTTGGATACTGATTATAGTTGGCATCTGTATCATAGCACGTAGACAACTAGATAGGTGAATGTATATAAAGAAAACTGTTAATGTGTGTGGATTTTGTTCTCTTCCAGGTCTCTTACATCTACACCAGGATGCTGGTCTTTGTAACACTGCTATTTTAATATTTTATAGTTTCAGGTAGGTCTCAGCCACTCCTTTGCTGCTTATTTTCTTTTTATAATACTATTTATATTCTCATCCATGTGCTTCTTCTTAGGATTTTATAATTATTTAATTGATTCTTTTTAAGAGATTATATTTGGATGAAAATTATGTTAAACTTATTAACTTTGGGAAAATATGCAAGTATATGATATTTAGTCTTTCCATCTAGGAATATAGCATGTTTTAATTTATTAATAAATATTGCTCATTTGTCCTAGACTTTTGTATTATAACAATCTTGCACATCTCTCATATGATTGTTTTTCCTGGAACATTTTTTATTATATTATAGTAGAATATATTATAGTATACTAGAATTATAGTTTATTATTTTAAATGAACATATGTCACAATTTTAGTCTACTTCCCAGCTAATGACCGTTGAATATGAAAATGACATTGTGATATGTTTCTTTTGCCAGACTAATTTATTCATTAATAAAGAATTATAGTAGTATTTTTCTTGATCCCACTGTACTTTCCAGGCATGCAATCAACTGTAAATATTGATATTTTGTTTCTTTCTATCTCAAAGGCATTTTGTATCTTATATCTTTCCTGGGAAATTCTAAAAACAAATTTAAGTAATAATGGTGATACTTATTGTATCATCATCACTTATTGTACTAAAATACGGTACTTCTTGTTTATTTCTGGCTGTTTATGGATTTCTCTTCCAGTGCAATTCTGGCCTTGCTTTACTGCAGGCTTCTTCACTGAATCCTTCTCTATTAGTTGTTTCACTACTATTATTGTCTTACTATTAGTGAATGTTGAGCACTTGTATTGTTTTCTACACATAGTCCCTGTACTTTCAGGTCTTTAGCTTAATACTTTCTCCTATAAAGCATAGTCTAGTTCCTGCAGAAAGAAAACTCATCTGAAGCAATAGACAATAACAAGCACAGAGAAAAGAAGTATGGATTTTCTTCCACTCTCCTGTAGGCAGCTGTAACTTACCGTAATGGCCTTGATGCACTCAAGGTGAGAAGTTCTCTTCACACAGGTGACATGAGGACCATCCTCTGGAAGGACTCTTTTCATATTGTCACTGAAACTGGAGCACTTCCTGGCCTCATGATTTGAGATAGTGCACCACCTCACAGTTTTTCCAGGAACAGCCAGACACAGCCCTGGGGGACAGAGGCCAGAGGTGTGAAGAAAACACAGCACTCATCTTTCTCGGCTGAAAGAAGAGTTTAAAGACAGGTAAAGGTGGGCAGCCTGGGTGGCTCAGTGGTTTAGCACCACCTTCAGCCCAGGGAGTGATCCTGGAGACCCGGGACCGAGGCCCACGTCAGGTTCCCTGCGTGGAGCCTGCTTCTTCCTCTGCCTATGTCTCTGTCTCTGTCGGTGTCTCTCATGAATAAATAAAAAATCTTAAATAAAAATAAAAATAAAGACAGGTAAAGGGTTGGCTGAGTGGGATAGAGAAAAATTGGGTTGGCTGCATGGCTCACATGAATTCTCAGATCCCATTTCTCTGATTGTGCCTTTCGTCTTAGAGAAAAAAAAGCATCTCCCAAAAGTCAAACATAGAATTATATAACCCAGAAATCCCACTCCTCAGTATATATCTCAAAGAATTGGAAAAGGGTACTCAAATACACATACACAAATATTCATAGCAGCACTGTTGCCAATGGTCAAAAAAGGCAGAAAAAAACCCAAAAGAACCTCAATGGATGAATGGATAAACAAAATACGGTGTATCCATTCCATGAAATATTATTCTGCCATAAAAAGAATGAAGTCCTATATGCTCCACATTGATGAACCCCAAAAATATGTCAAATGAAAGAAGCCAAATATAAAAAGCTATACATTATATGATTCCACTTACGTGAAATATGTAAAATAGGTTAAAAAATACAGAGAGAGGCAGAAAACAAACTGGTGGTTGCCAGGGACTGGGAGGCAGGAGAATGGGTACTGACTGCTTAATGGGTACAGGTTTTTCTTTTGGGGTGATGAAACTATTTTGGAATTAGACAGAAATAATAGTCGCAAAACACTGTGAGTATATTAGATGCCACTGCATTGTACACTTTTAAGTAACTGATCTGACATTAGTGAACGTCACCTCAGAAAAGAAAAAGAAAAAAGAAACCTATGGGAAGGAATCTTGAGCCTACTGATTTACTCTTTCTTTTGACATTGGGTACTCTGACCTCACATGGTACTATTTGCTGGAGCATTAACATCAGTGCATGTTTATTTCACTGGCATTTTAAGCTATATTAATAAGTGTAGAAAATATTACAAAGGCAAAATGCTCTTTACAAACCTGTAGTACTAATTTGAGCCAAACGTTATTTTAAATAAAATCTAGAAGATGAAAGTTACAACAGTAGCAGCTCCTCATTTTTTATGAAGTCCAGGATATTTGAACTACCCAAGTCTGTTTGACTCCAAAATCTGTACTGCCTTTTAACTGGCCTTAAGTAGGAAATATCAAAAGAAATAGGACAGGAGATGCCAAATTACCTTTGACAGAATTCCATATGAAAGACAGAATGACACATGGAGCCCCTCAACTCTATCTGAAAAAGTCTTTGATAGTAGCAACCCAGGGAAGGGAGAGCAAGCTAGGAATGGAACTATAGAGGCCACGTGCCCTTGGGCAGCATAGTTTGGAGTCGATTAGCTTACATTTGCATTTTGAGCCTTTCAAAGCATGTTTACTCTGCTTGCTAAACTAGATCGCTGAAACATTTTGTGCTCAGAAATAACTGATAGCAGTAGAGACAATACAACTCTATAAATGAAAATAGCTTTGTAAGCAGGCTAAATTATACAAAGAGCTACTGTATCCAACTACATACAGGTTTTTTTTTTCTTTTTCAAAGGTATACACTTTTGGGGAAAGCCTTTTTAAAAGCCTATATTTTTAATCACCACCATGCTTATGTCCAAATGATTAAAACTAGTTTCTGCCCTTCTAGTTTCTTTTTTAAGTGTAAAAGAGGCAAAGATAATACTTTCATTATTTCTGTTTAACATAGTCTTAGCCATTTTAATAAGATGCAAAAGAGAAATAAAAGGGATACAGATTGGAAAAGAAGACATAAAATTGTTTTTCTTCACAGATAACATGTTTGTCTATATAGGAAGTTTTAAAGACTCTACAAAAAAGCCACTAGAATAAATAAGTTTAATAAGTTCACAGAGGGAAAAAAAAAGAAAGTTCACAGGGTTTGATTTCATATACTAAAATCAATTAAATTTCTATAATACTAAAAAGAAAAAATGTGAAATGAAAAATTTTAAAATACTACTTACAATGGCATCCAAAAACTATGAAACATCTGGGGATAAATTTAATAAATTATTATTATTTTTTATTTTATTTTTTTTAGAGAGAGACACATGGAGGATCAGAGGAAGAGGGAGAGAGAGAATCTTAAGTAGGCTCCATGCCCAGGGTGGAACCCAACATGGGGCTGATCTCACAACCCTAAGATCATGACCTGACTCAAAATCAGGAGTCAGAATCTTTAACTGATGAGCCACCTGGGCACTCAAAATATAACAAATTATTGATAAGACTTGCACAATAAAAACTACAAAATATTCCTAAGATGAATGAAAGAAGACTAAATAAATACATACAGAGTGCTCATAGACTACAAAACTCAACACTCCTGTGAGTGTTGCCAATTCTGTGAAACCGAGTAAAGAAAACCTCATTTAAAATATAGCAGGGGGCGCTGGGGTGGCTCAGTTAGTTAAGCATTCAACTCTTGATTTCAGCTCAAGTCATGATCTTGTGGTCCTGAGATCAATCCCCACATAGGGATCTGCACTCAGTGGGGAGTCTGCTTGTCCCTATCCCTCTGCTACTCTCCTCTCCTCAAACAAATAACTAAAATCTTAAAATAAAATAAAATAAAATAAAATAAAATAAAATAAAATAAAATAAAATAAATAAAATAAAATAAAATAAATAAAATAAAATAAAATAAAGCAGGAAGGCTACAAGTGGCAGTTCCCATACCCTAACACTCCTTGTCAATCGCAAACCCCAATAGGAAGAGAGGTACCCTAAATAACAGGAAGAAGCCTATACTTTACTACCCCAGCAGGAGGAAGAAATTTTCTCCTTGCCAGGCAACAGCCCAGTCAATGAGAGACTGTCACAACTCAGCCAATGAAAACACACTACACTCAGAATTCCCAGTTTACTTCATTGGACTTTTTGTTTATTATAGCCTCAACCAACTTCTCCCTTTCTCTCTCTCTCTTTTTTTAAAAAAATTACCTGTCTTTTGTTCTCTAGTCTTGCCTATGGTTTTGCTGTAGCTTGCCATGTCCTGAAATGTAACTTTCTGCTATTCCCAAATAACCCCATTTTTGCTGGTAAAATAATTGACAGGGTTTTTTTTTTTTTAGGTTAACACTCCTCAAAATGATCTATAAATTAAATGCAAACTCTACAATATTTCAAGATTAAATGGCCTTTTTATAGTCATTGATAAGCCAATTCAAAAACATGAACACACAAAATACCTAAATGGCCAAACCAACACTGAAGTAGTATCATAGAATTGGAGGGCTTATTCTACCTAGAAATCAGGTATTTTATATTTACTTATATTTATAAGAAATCAGCTTAGGGACCCCTGGGTAGCTCAGTTGAGCATCTGCCTTTGGCTCAGGGAGTGATCCCAGGGTCCTGGGATTGAGTCCCGCATCAGGCTCACCACAGGAAGCCTGCTTCTCCCTCTTCCTATGTCTCAGCCTCTCTCTCTGTGTCTCTTGTGAATAAATAAGTAAAGTCTTAAAAAAAAAGAAATCAGCTTATTATAAAGCTACTATAATCAAGACAGTGTGATATTGGTACAAGGAGAGACATAGAGCTTAATAAAACAGAACAGAGTCTAGAAATTAAGCTACATTTATAGGGTCAGTAGATTTTCAACAAAGCTACTAAGGTAATTCAGTGGAGAAAGAATATCCTTTTCAAAAACAAGTCTTAGAATAACCGGATATTCATGTGAGAAAAGTGAATCTCATCCTTTACTTCAACCATACACGATAACTACAAATGTAGCATAGACCAAACCACAAAAGCTAAAGCTATAAAACTTCTAAAGTAAAACAAAAGACAATATTGCAACTTCGGGAGTTGCCAACTATATTTTTAGAGAGGACACAGAACATACAAATCAAAAAATTAAATTTGTTAATTTGATCAAAAACATTTGCTCTTCAGATGATAGCATTCAGAAAATGGAAAGCTAAGCCATAAACTTGGAAAAAAATAATTGCAATACATCTGTGTGACCAAGGACTTGTATCCAGAATATATAAAGAGCTTTTAAATTCAATAATAAGTCAAATAACCCAATTTAAAATGGGACAAGATTTAAATACATAATTCATAAAAGATATATGAGTAACCAGTAAGAACATAGAAAGATGCTCAACATCATTGTTCATCAAAGAAATGCAAAGCAAAACCATAGTTATATACCATGACATACCTATTAAAATGGTTAAATGTTAAAAGACTGACAATACAAAGTGTGGGTGGGATGTGGAGGAAATGAAATTCTCCTACATTGCTGGCAGGAATGTAAAACAGTACAACTACTCAAAAAAGTTTGGTATTTTCTTAACTAGTTTAAGAAGATTTTACTCCTAGAAATTTGCCTGAAAGAAATGAAAATGGATGACTACCCAAAGACTTGTACACTAATGTTCACAGCAGCTTTATTCATAATATCCCCAACCTGGAGACAAGCTAAAAATCAGTCAACAAGTGGAGAGGTAAACAAACTATGGTGAAACCATACAATGGAACACGGCTTATCGATAAAAAAAAAAAATGAACTTTGATATATGCAACAATGTGAATGAGTCTCTAAACGATTGTGCTGATACCAGACACAACAGACTGTGTACTGTATGATTCCATTTCTGTGAAATGGCAAAACTTACCTATAGTGGCAGAAAGTGGGAATGACTGGAAAGAGGACGGTTTGGGAGTGATGAAAATGTTCTGTACCTTGATCGTGGTGGTAGTTACATGGATAGGTATAGTTGTCAAAATTCACTAGACCACATGTATACTTAAAATGAGTGTGTTTTATTATATGTGAATTATACTCCAGTAAAAATTATTTTAAAAAAGAGAGAGAGACTGCAAGCCAGCTAGACTAGGCCAATTCAATAACACTCCACGCCAGCCATGTGACAATTTCAAGAAAGGGTGATCAGCACCCACTCTGGATTTTTCAGATTGATCCTGGTGGTGGTCACATACTCACTGTGTGGAGAAATCTCTTAAGCTCCAGAGAGGCTGAGGTAGGAGGTGGAGGCCAAAGTGGACATACAGGCTGTCTGGGAACCTTTGGTCCTTGGCTCTTGCAAGGTCTACTAATGACAAACGCCCTTCTTTTGATCTTTTTAATCTTAAACTATTTTGGTTGCATTTCTGTCATTTGCCATCAGAAGAGTTTTTGTCAAAAGAAAACACTGACTTTTGAAGAAAGCACATCCTAGACTCTAGCCTGATCCACATCCAGTGCCCAGTAGGAAGGACTGTGGGCAGTGGAGATGGGGGAAGGCAGGCAGCTCTTGTCTCTGGTTTGTAAATACAGAGCCGATTGGGAAATGAGCTACTGGGCAGTGCCTGGCATTGCCAGGAGAGGAGATGGAGGAAGAAAAAACAACATGCATCCTATCCAGAAGGAACCAGGGAGTAAGCAGGGGGCTTCACTCTGGATTTGCTGGTGGCTGTAGTTGGAACGCGGCTGTACACTACGTTTCCAGCCTTCCCCAGCCCCAGTAGGGCTCATTCTGTGGCCCTATGTGGCAGCATAGGCCTGGGAGGACCCACCATGGCACAGCTTGCCCTTCCTGCCTTTCCTTCTCATGTTCCCAAGTTAGTCCTCTCCTCAGGTAAGACACCTGACCACTCCAGAAGTTATTTAAGACATCCTGAGGCCAGACAGAACCAGGGCAAGAACCAATAGCTGTTGAACCATGCCGGTTTTTTTTTTTTTTTTAAGATTTTATTTATTTATTCATGAGAGACACACAGAGAGAGGCAGAGACACAGGCAGAGGGAGAAGCAGGCTTCCAGAGGGGAGCCTGATATGAGACTCGATCCCAGGACCCCAGGATCATGCCCTGAGCCAGAGGCAGATGCTCAACCACTGAGCCACCCAGGTGCCCCTGCGGCGTTTTCCACGTGCATGAGCTCATTAACTGTGTACCATTACCTACCTTACCCAGCCAAGAAACCTGGCTCCCCCTGCCCAACACAGGAAGGGGCCCCCTACATTTATGTGCAGGAATTTTACCAGTGATAACTCACCTGTGTCTAGAGCTCTGTCATTAGGTACATTATCTCATTCTACTTTCACAGTGTTGGTTATGAAAAAGCAATTCTTACCCAACCGAGGAGGAAACCAGTTCAGAGAGGTCAAGGGATGGCCCAGAGTCACACCGAACTGGGTGGCAGGGGGATCCTATTCTAGAATGATTGCTTTTCCCATACATTCCTCACTGTTGTATGGTAAGGATGGGAGATGCTGTACAGTTCAAAGCAGGAAAAACTCTTCTCCTTAGATACCTGACAGGTCAAGCATACCTGACATTAAGCCCTCCCCCACCTAATACCAACACAGAGCCATGAGCCCTTGGGGAAAATCCCTTCCCTCTTCTAATCCTGTTTCCTTGGCTGTGAACAGGATCAGTAGCTTCCAGGCCAAGTGTCATAAATCTTGTCAGCAATGGGCTAATAAGTATTTTTGGCTTTGTGGGCTATGCGGTCTCGGTAGCAATGACTCAGTTCTGTCCCCAAAGTGGGAAAGCAACCACAGACGATACTTAACCTGAATAAGCATGATTGTGTTCCAATAAAATTTTATTTATGGATACTGACATTTTAAATTCCTGTAATTTTCATGTGTCAAAACGGTCGTTCTTTTTATTTCCTTTCAACCATTTAGAGATGTAAAAATCATCTTTCGCTCATCCAGCTGCACAACATCAGGCGGGCAAGCTGGATCCGGCCCCCTGCTGTAGGCTACAGAAGTTTGTCAGGTACGTGTCTACACCACAAGCCGAAGCATTTTGGGACCAGCCAGGTGCTGGGTTGCTTCTGGACCCCTTAGACCCAGGCTGTGCAGGGTCCCGCTGCGGCCGACCCTCCGCTGACACCCAGTCCAGGTCCTGAAGGGCAAGACCCCACCGCGCTCCCAGTGCGCACTCACCCAGGGTCCCCGCACACAGCAGGGCGCAGATGGGGAGCCTCATCACCGCGGCGGCCACCGGACACTGACACAGCTGCCGGCGCCTAGGCAGGCTCTGCGTGCCCCGGGGGGTGGGTGGGGGGCGGATCCGCCTACTAACGGGGTAGCCCTTTGGGCGGGTCACCCTTGCCACACCTCCGACCTCTCCCGGGCCCTCCACCGCGCTGCAGGGCGGCAAGTCTGCGAGCTATGCTGCCGCCGGCCCGCGGCCGCCCCCTGGGGCCCCGCCGGGAGCTGCGCGGCTGCACCTCTGCTCTCGGGATGCGGGGTCGGGGGGGGGGGGGGGGCACAGGTGGGAGCGGAAGCCACCTGGGAGCCCGCGGGACTGACCGCCTAGAACAGAGGTCCCCTGATCTTCACCTAGCCCAAGCAGCTTAGATGTTTGGAAAACACAGACTCCAGAGGAATGGGGTGGGGGGCAGTCTACAGGGTGAAACTTGGGGACTCTTCCCCCAAGAAAGCATGTGTGCAGGTACAATGTTTTGCAGTTTTCAGGGATCCTCAGACTCTACCCCCTAAAGCACCTCGGTTGCCCACTCCGACTCCCTCCCGGAAGCCCTCTACCACCCCCACCCTCCCACCACCCCACCACCCCACCACCCCCACTCCCGCCCAAAAGACAGGGTTTCCTATAACCCTCTGCTGAAGGCTTAAAGTCAGGTGAAATGCTGAACCCCAGAGGGCTGCTTCTGCTTGGTCCTGCGGCCTGCAGCCCAGTCCTTCTGAAGCCTGTGAGCTCCACCTGGGGAAAATTTAAAGTTTTAACAACTTTTGTTTAAGTACAGTAAACATACCTAAAACTTCACACACCCTAAGTGTACAACTTGATGAATTATCGCCAGGTGAACATAGCCTTATAACCAGCACCCACATCATGGAACAGAACATCGACAAGGCCGGGATGGCCCCCCGGTGCCTTCTTCCACTTGCCTCCCATCTCCCCCCACAAAGATATACTTTACCTTGACTTCTAACAACGAAGATGAACTCGGTGGATTTTTTAATGTGATAGAGATGGAATCATACAATACATACAATTTTGTGTCTGGCTTCTTTCACTCAAGGTTGTATTCATGAGATTCCTCTATGATGTTGTGTATAGCTGTCCTTCACGAGTTCTTGGTGTTGCATATTATCCTGTACTTTGATCGTTCCTGTTGGTAATTGTAGTTTCTTGTTTGGGCTCTTCTAAAGAGCCAGTGAGTGCTGCAATGAACATTCTAGCACATGTCTTTTAGACATGTAGGTATGCATTTCTGCAGGATATTTCTGGGAAGAGTAATTGCTTGGTCATAAAGTAGAAGTACGTCTAACTTTAATATATACTGCCAAACAGTTTTCCAAAATGAAACCAATTTACACTCCCAAGAGTATGAGATTTTGGTTGCTCCACATTTTTACTATTTTAATGGGAATGTTACTGGTTTTGCACTGTAATTTTGAGTTTCTCTAATGATTAATGAGATTGAGCATCTTTTTATGAGCATATTGGCTATTTGGATGCCCTCTTGTATAAAGTATTGGTTCAAGTCTTTTGCACTAAATACATTTTAAATAGACTTTCCTTGAATTAAGTTTGGGGACTGGCAATACAATTAGTCAAACTACGAACCGAGGCTTGTGTAATAAAGCATCCTTAAGATGGTAAAACTTAAGAACGTAAAACTGGGGCACCTGGGTGGCTCAGTGGTTGAGTGTCTGCCTTTGGCTCAGGTCATGATCCAAGGGTCCTGGAATCAAGTCCCACAGCAGGCTCCCTGTGCCTATATCTCCCTCTGCCTGTGTCTCCCTCTCTCTGTGTCTCTCATGAATAAATAAATAAAACTTTTTAAAAAGTGTACACTGGCATTATGTTTATAAAAATGTACATACTTTAATTAAAAATACTTTATTGTTAAAAAATGCTAGCCATCACCTGAACTTTTAGTGAGTCCTAATCACTGATCCTAGATAATTGTAACAAATATGACAATAAAGAAAAAGTCTGAAATATTGTGGGAATTGCCAAAATGACACACAGAGACCCATTGCAAGCAAATGCTGTTGGAGAAAATAGTACCTATTGGCTTTTTTGACGTAGAATTGTCACAAACCTTCAGTTTGTAAAATAAGACAGTATCTGCAAAATACAATAAAGCAAGGTGCAATAAAATGAGGCATGCCTTTATTACAATTCTCATTGTTCTGTGGTATTTCAATGGTGAATATATCATTGAGTACTGACGGAAATTTGGTTGTTGTTTTCTTTTTTTTCCAATTTAAGGCTATTACGGAGGAATAACTGCTATAACAATTCTTGTACCTGTCTGTTGGTGAACATGTGTATGCATTTCTAATGATATATAAACAGGATGCAATTGCTGAATTACAGGGTACACCTATATTCTGCATTTAATATCTGCATTTTTTGACGTGGTTGTACAACTTCCACACTCCCTCTACTTCCAACAGTGTATGAAAGTGCCAGTTGCCCCATATCCTTGTTAATATTCAGTTTGGGATGAAATATAAATTTAAATTTTATTTAAATTTTAGCTATTCTGAAGCACATGAAGTTCATTATTAATATTGTTTTAATATTAATTGCCCTGATAACTAATAAAGCTGAATACTTCTTAATGTTTATTGGTAAATTAGATATCTTCTTTTGTGATGCGCCCATTTTCCTATTGGATTGTTTGCTTATTTTTTATTGAGTTGTAGTAGTTCCTTATATATTATAGCTACGAGAACTTTTTTGGATGTATTTCAAATATTTTCTCACATTTTGTGGCTTGCCTCTCACTCTCTTAATGGTGTCTTTGGTAAGCAGAAATTTTAAATATTTCTGAATCCAATTTCAACATATTCCTTTATGTTTAGCACTTCTTGTATACTGTTTAAAAAATCTTTGCCTGTACCAAGTTCATGAAAATGTTTCCTTCTGAAAGCTTCATAGTTTTTACCCCTCATATTTAGATCTAGAATCCACCTGGAACTGATTTTTTTTTTTATCCATAGACATTTATTTTCCATTCATGCTAGAGAGAAATTAGGTTAAAAGAAGCAGATGAGGAGATCCCTGGGTGGCGCAGCGGTTTGGCGCCTGCCTTTGGCCCAGGGCGCGATCCTGGAGACCCGGGATCGAATCCCACGTCAGGCTCCCGGTGTATGGAGCCTGCTTCTCCCTCTGCCTGTGTCTCTGCCTCTCTCTCTCTCGCTGTGTGGCTATCATAAATAAATAAAAAAAAATTAAAAAAAAGCAGATGATTTCTTATTGTGCCTTTTTTTTTTAAGATTTCATTTATTTATTCATGAGAGACAAAGAGAGAGAGAGGCAGAGACAGAGGCAGAGGGAGAAGCAGGCTTCATGCAGGAAGCCTGACTCGAGACTCGATCTCGGGACTCCAGGATCACACCCTGGACTGAAGGCAGCGTTAAACCGCTGAGCCACCTGGGCTGCCCAGACTTTTTTTTTTTTTTGCTTCAAATATTCACTCATTAGGTCTCCTCAAATTTAACAAATGATTTATAAGCCCTTTAATTTGTGCTATAAAACTGTAGTTATAAACTAAATAGCTTGGTGAGCTAGCATAATGTCATAGAAGAAAAAACTAAGCCACATAGCCTAGATGTTTTTTTGGAATTGATGTTTGTAAATGGTGTGAGACAGGAGCCTATATTCATTTTTTCTCTCATGTATATGTCCAATGGACCCAGCACCATTACCAGAAAGCTGATTTCTTTCTCACTGTACTTTAGTACAAGTTTTTTTTTATAAATCAGGCAATTGTGTATGTGTTTCAGAACTCTCTAATTTGTTCATTGATCAGTCCTTCCACTTATTTCTGTCTCAATTTCTATAGCTTTATTAAATCTTGATATCTCATAATGTAAGTCCTTGGTTTGTTCTTCTTCAGGATGGACTGGGTTTCATTGTTATTGTTTTGGTTTTTGGAGTTCCATGTAAATTTTAGAATTGACATGTCAATTTCCAGAAACAAACAAACAAAAAAACCTGCAGAGATTTTATTGAACTATACAAAAATACAGATCAATTTGGAGGGATTTGACTTCTCCACAATATTAAGCCTTGCAATTCATGAATATGGCATACCCCTGCAATTATTTAGGCCTTCTTTACTAGCTCTTCTCTTGATAACATTTTATAGTGTTCAGTTTAGAGCCCTTGAACATACTTACTATATTTGTTCCCAGTTATCAACTGGTTTTGGGTGGTATTATAAATAGGACCATGATTTCAGTTTCCCATTTGTTTGTTGCTGGAATATGAAAAAAACAACTTTTTATATTGATCTTGAGTCTAATGACTGTACTGTTATTAATTATAAATTATTCTTTTGGATTTTCTGTGTATATCCTGGTGCCTTTGTGAATAATGTTTTTGTTTCCTTTTTTTCAGTTCTTATAATTTTTTTTCTTCATTTACTGCACTGACTAGAAGTTCCAGTACATCACTATATAGAAGTAGTGAATGAGGAAGAAAGTTTTCAATAATTCACCATGAGGTAAAATGTTTGCTGGTGTTTTGCTTTGTTTTAGGTATTATTTACCAGATTAAAGAAGCTCCTTTTCTTCCTGGTTTGGTTAATTTTTTTCCTTAAATCATGAATGGGTGTTGAATTTTTATCAAGTTTTTTTCTGTACCTATGGAGATTATCACATGATTTCTCCTCCTTTTTCTGTTGATGTGATGAACTACTCCAACTGTTAAATGTTAAACCACTATTACATTCCTGGAATAAACCCCACTTGATTGTTATGTATAACGCTTTTAATATACAGCTAAATTTGAATTTCCAACATTTTGTTTAGGATATTTTTTGCATCTGTCTCATCTTTTTTCATGAGAGAAATTATTCTTCAATTTTACTCTTATTTTAATATCCCATAAGCTTGGCTTTAAAGTTATGTTAGCTCATAAAATAAATTGGAAAATGTCACTTTTCTTATTCTTTGGAATACATTGCATAAGAGTAATGTTATTTTCTTCTTAAATCTTTGGAACAGCCCACCAGTGAAGCCACTCATGTCTAGAGTTTTATTAGTAGAAAGGTTTTCAATTA